AAATTTGGTGTCATTATGGTTGCATCATCTAACTTAAATTTTAATTATTAAGATAAACTTATTCACTTACTTACTAACTCAATCACCTACTTACATACTTATTTTCTCACTCACTTACTCATTCACTTCCTTATGTTGATGAACACGGTGGATATGATGCAAATGTGAAGAAGCGGATCGGCAAAGCAAGAGTAGCAAATTTACAATTGAAGAACATCTGGAACTCAAAACAATTATCAACTAACACAAAAGTCACAATTTTCAATACAAATATCAAGACAGTTCTACTGTATGGGTAGGAAACTTGGAGAACTACGAAAGCCATCATCCAGAAGACACAAGTGTTCATTAACAGTTCTCTACGCAAGATACGTCGGATCCGGTGGCCAGACACTATCAGCAACATTCTACTGTGGGAATGAACAAACTAGATTCCAGCGGAGTATGAAATCAGGAAGAAGCTCTGGAAGTGGATAGAACCGAACTGTGTCAAAAGACAAGTCACCATATGGAATCCTAACGTCAAAAGAAAAGAGGAATACCAAAGGACACATTCCTTCGAGAAATGGAGACAGACTCTGAGAAGAATGAACAAAAATTGGATGGAACTAGAAAGGAAGGCCCAGAACAGAGTGGGTTGGAGATCAACTTTATAGAACACGTTCATGTATAGATCTGATAGTTTATATCAATTAAGTATTTCTTTGAAGAGGAAAATTATTCATATCAAATGGATCGATGTTAGAATGAATGTTTTTCTCCAAAAAAAGGTGTTTCATTTTATTGATTGGAAAAATGTTATTTCGGTTCACGCAGTCTAATTGTACATGACATTTACACAATTATACAATTTAAACAATTAAGGAATGATTTGAACAGCAAGCGTTAATAATGATATTGACAAGATCGGCATTCTTAAGAGAGATATTATAAAGAAAATGGAAATACTTCTCCTCGTCCTTCTCCTCTTACTCCCTCTCCTCCTCTTCCTCCTCCTCCTCTTCTTCTTCTTCCTCCTCCTCCTCCTCCTCCTCCTCCTCCTCCTACTACTACTACTACTACTACTACTACTACTACTACGACTACGACTACAGTTTTTATAAGGCCAGTAGTGATGACGAAACTTGCTTTTTTAATGATTTGTTCTATATCGAATATCAACTAAATGAAAACAAATTAAACATGATGACCGAATAGAAGAGGGAAGATCTCTCTCTCACCTCTGTGAAAGTGACTTATATAAAATTCTGTCATAAAGGTCAAGTTGATTGATTGTGACATAAAAAAAATAATTTGATCAACAGTTAACCTAACAACATGGAATGGATTATGAAATCAATAATTAAACTTATATTTGGAGTTGAGAGATTTACTACTTTTAATAGTTGAGTTCATGAGTCGATTAAAGCCAGACTACCATAGAAAATGTGAAAGCACTGGAAGGCCGTTTCGACTTAGTATAGAACTCCTCAGTAGGGAGCATTCATGATCCCTTTTGTAGGATTTTAATCCAGAACCAACCGGTCTCGCGCGCAAGCGCTTAACCTCTAGATCAGTGAAGCGGCTGGCATCCAACGCTGTTAATGTTTAACTTCAACGAATCCATGAAATTGTGCCACCGTCCTTATTGTCTTCAGTGAGTTACAGTCTCACAACAGACCTAGTTGAATACCGATAGTCACTGCTTCTCACTAGAACTCTAGGAAATACCTCTTCAAGTCATTCACTAGTGATTTACTACTCAAAATACGGTACTAGAAATCACTTCTATTAAAACCAATTAATTGAAGACCTATATTATTGATAGTGCAATATCAAACTATGTTGCTATTCTGTATGTACTTTTGAACTCAAAAAAGTACTTCCTGTTGAAGTATTTAGAAGGTTTTGTTTGTTAAAAAAACGCTAATAATAAATTCAAAGTGAATAATAATGAAAACAAAATGTGTTTAATTATTATAACTGAACTTCTGAACTAATTTCTTTCACTACGTAACTAATACTCATATTCACTTTATTATTGTTTACTTGCATTTTCTCATTGTTATTTCGGACTGTCGTTGATCAGTCTCTTGTTGACATATGTATATCATGTCCGGAATGGCTTGATATTACCTTAGGTCACAAGCTTTATGAATAAAGATGGATATTGGCTAGCAGTGGAATCCATTTTAATGCTCGTCTCATCATAGTTAACATTCGTCAGATGGATATACCTGCATCTCAGGGTTGATATTCACATCTAGAACTCGAACACAGTACTGTCAACTTTAAACGCCATCACGTTATCCACTTCGTTACTGAGTCCTGATAGACACTTTCTTGTTCACTGGGGGTGAAATGCATGTACATCCAGATGATGAGTCCCAAAGAGAATGAAACACGCGTTCTGAATTCCATCGCTAACGACTATCCATCTTTACTTATAATACTCTTATTATTCATATTTCATATCTTAAATTATAGGTTGGAAAAAAACGTTTCACCAACAAATATGTACGTGTCATTTGATAATAAAGTTGTTAAATAAGTGCGAATGAAGCAACTTGGTTTCATGTAATTTTTGTGTTATTCAATAAGAGAAAGATCAATATATATGAATATGAATAAATATGAATATGAATCCAACTAATACATGGTCTGGTTTGACTATGTTTCATCGGTTAAGGGCTCTGGCTCGTAACTGGTAGGTCCTGGGTTCGAATCTCGCGAGTGCGGGATCGTGGATGCGCACTGCTGAGGAGTCCCATAATAGGACGAAACGGCCGTCCAGTGCTTCCAGGTTTTCGATGGTGGTCTAGCTTCAATTGACTCATGATTTCAACTTTGAAATGTGTTTCATAAATTTAATGATCACTAATATATCCATTGAACTAGATAAACAGGGAATGATGTTGAAATGATGGATCATACTTCATAGTCTCCATGTGAACATGAATGCTAAGATGTAATTCCATATTTTTATATTGGTAGTTCCTCCGAGCTAGATTTATTTAAAGAGCTTTCACTGTCGTACTGGAGAACAACATCGGTGTCTACTTTATGTAGAAGTGAGGTTCTTCGTTGTCTCATATGTCGCAAATTAGTTTGTTTTGGTGTAGACTACTTTAAAAGAAGACTCATCTGGAACCATCTGTTCACAGTTGAATAATTGCTTCTGTATTAAACTAGTACTTGTTTTACATTCTCTTTCTAAAAGTCATGCCGGATAGTGTTTTGAGATGCGTTTGGAAAGTGGTCGCTTTGTGCATCCGATGTAATTTGCCTCACATGAGGAAGTAAATTTAAAGATACACATTGATATGGCCCAAAGCGGAAGTTTATCATTAACATATCGGTGTATAGTAGGCCGGCTTGAGAAAACAATTAAGAGCTTAGCTGAGTAGAACATTTTATTCAACGGTTTTAAAATCCTTTTATTCAAAATTTCAACAGATGTATTTCCTTTCAATTCTAAATTTATCAAAAGCGTTTTTTCATACTGTTTGTGCTCTTTCAGGATGATGTCTAAGTGTTGCTATCGACCAATCTAGGTAGACAATCATCAGGGAGCACCAGTTCCCGCAAGATTACAGGTACACCTTGCTGAAGAGTGCCAAGTAGCACGAAACCCGGGTCCAGGGTTTCCTGTTGACCACCTCCAACCACCATTTTATTTCAGCATAGTGTGCGCAATGTCGAGCCACCTAGACTAGTAGCCACATTGCAACTTGATCGATAGCATTCATTCAGCACTAAGAAAGACTTGACACGCATGACATTGATCACCACCCAGTGATAAATCAATTGAGATAACCATTCCTAATGAGAGAGTCTGTTTAAGTTGTAAGTTTTATTGTGTGACTTTTTTATTTTTTCATTGTTATTGACATTCTCAATGAGGTGTTTATGAAATGATTGACCTCTTGTATATCTGATATATAGATCTTTTCATGTATCAATCATTCTGTAATAACCTATGTTATGTAATCATTAATATTTATGAAAGTCTATCAATCATTCAACTATCTAAGAACAAATCAAATGTGACTATAGTATTGGAGGTCACTTCATTCAATGATTACATAACAATTTAATCAATAGAATTCAATCAAACTTAGTAACCAGACTGTATGCCACTAACATTTGATCAATTGGAAATGACAACAAACTGAGGAAAAATATGATCCATTTACTTATATATATATATATATATATATATATATATATATATTAACGATGGTCCCCGAATGCCCTGGTACGGCAGAGAGTCGGGAGAGTCCGTTCTCCCTCTCGAATTGCTCTCACATGGCCACGCGTATATAACCTCTGTCACACAAGTCCTACACACTGCCTTCTCGTGGCGAGCCCACGTGTTGTTTACAAAATTGAGAATACGAAAAGCGAATGTCCGGCGCTTTAACCGGGTTGGTGAACACGAAAAGTCCACCTACGAGAGTTGGAAAACCCTGATTCCAAAGCAATGGTGCACATGGGCTCCAGTATCTTAAAGGAATAAATGACATATAAATCAATCGTTGGTCATCGGCTACCATGGTATTGCATCACCTCACGATGCTTCACTGCCTTGTGGTTCAGACCTTTAGGTCAAAGGCTCTGGAGGTGACCCCCTAAGGAAACCCCCTGCTTTAGTTTGGGCACCTGAGCAGTATCACAGTCCCCACACAGATCGAATGAGATTTGTTCGGCGCATATATATCTGGTACTTCCTTCTACCAATTAATAAAGCTTCATTAACATATAAATGAGTCTTAACATAGAAACAATATTATCACTTGATGAATGTTACGAATCAATAATAAAATCAGAGTTCGTGTTTATAACTATCAACTCAGTTAACAAGTGAGTTAGTCAATTATAATTGGAATCTGACAAGTATTATATCATTTAATTGGTTAATGCAATACATTACATTATCGATTATTTTTTTTTGGTTGTTCTGATTGCGTAAATGTTATCTAGTATGTATATAAATATAAAAAAAAATTTAGTTGCTGGCTGAATAAAAACATTCGTTAATGTTTGATCTGAGTTTTTTTTTGGGTTTTTTTGATTTTTGAAAAAAAAAACAAAAAAAAAATTTTTTTTCAGTATCCAAAAAAAATAATCAATAAATATATAGATCCTATTGATCTAATCACTATCCAAAAAAAGGAAATGAATTAAAAAGAACCTTTTGACAATATTTAAATATCAATGAATGATGTCCAATTGTGAAGGTACAACAGTTAGTAACTATCATGATTTATATATATCAGAGATACAATCTATTGATCAATTATCAAATCATATTAATGAAGAAAATAAAATGAAAAAAGAATATTGGAAAGGAAAAATTGATTTTTTTATTGCATGTTTAGGATTTTCAATTGGACTAGGTAATGTATGGAGATTTCCATATTTATGTTATAAAAATGGTGGAGGTGAGTTAGTTTTTTTTTCTTTTCTTTAAAATTATTCGTTTTTTAAAAGTTATGTTTAAAACTACATGTGAGGGCTGAGATAATGCACGGGTGCCCAAACCGAAGTAGGTAGTTTTCTTGGGGGAGGGGGCATAATTCGAGTCTTTGACTTAAAGGTCTAATCTACAAGGTAGTGGAGCAACGTTAGGATATGCAGGTCGATGGTGGAATGTGATCAACCATTGGTTCATTGGCTATTTGTTTATCATGTGCTCCATTGGTTTGAAATGTAGGTTTTTCAACTCTCTTGTGTGGACTCTTCGTATCCACCGACACGGTTTAAGCGCCAAACATTTGCTTTTCATCCTCTTAATTCCGTAAGCAACATGGATGCTGCGAAAAGTTAGTAAGTAGGACTTTGTTGGCAGTGGTTGTATACGAATGGCTAAGTGGATGCATTTGAACAGGGATAGCTAAATCTACCCACCCTGGGACGTTCCACGGCATATAAGCACTATATATGATCATTTGATCGTTTTTAAGTGTTGAACGGAAATACTGAGAGTGATTAACTCGAATAAATTTATTATTATGACATATTCATAGTTTTACAATTTATCAGTTGCTGAGTAGCAAACAATCGCATATACGACAAATCCATTTTAGTGCTGATCAAATTTTACCAATAAAGTTACAATGTGATCACTTGTCCAAATGACTCAAAATCGCATGTACTATGTTGTAATATAAGGTGATGTTTAGGAGGAGCATCCATCCATTCCAATACTTTAGTGGTCGAGAATACCAGTAAGGACAACCACATATATTTGAACACAAAATTATAGGATATCTTAGTAAAATCTGAGAACCATACAGTATATACCTCATTTGCAAAATGTTAATCAATTGTCTTATACTTCATTGTTCTTTAGTTCTCATTCTCTTCAATTCAATCTCCTTAACCTTCTACTGCAAAGCATTTCACTTTCGATTGATAATGCATACTACTTATATCTGACAACAACAGTAGCACACACCATAATACTAGTAAATTTTCAAATATCTTTTTATGGTAATTCAATGAAATCATAGGTTCTAGAAATGAATAACTTATAATATTCATTCAGAAGAAATTGAAAGTAATTCTGTTTCCCAAATATGTTCTGATTTATTCAGGTGCTTTCCTTATCCCTTATTTCATCAGTGTATTGTTAGCTGGTATACCATTATTTCTATTAGAAGTAACTGTTGGACAATTAACACGTCATGGAGTTATTGCTGCATGGAATATCTGTCCATTATTTCAAGGTAAACTTTAGTAACTTTATTTTGAAAGATATTTACATTGATTCATGGAGGATGAGTTGGGATAATGGAGCTAAGATTTTATGTCACAATAATAATATAAGAAAGGAGTTATTTGTAGATATTATAGTAATTTCAATACTGAACTGAATCTAGACCACCATGGAACACTTGAAAGCATTGGACACCGTTAGATGCCGGCCTGCTCAATGGTCTAAAGGTGAAGCGCTTGCGCGCGAGACTTATAGGTCCTGGTTTCGAATCTCGAGATGCGTGGTCGAGGATGCGCACTACTTAGGAGTCCCACAATAGGACGAAATGGCCGTCCAGTGTTTCCAGGTTTTCCATGGTGGTCTACCATCAGTTTACTCATGATTTCAATTATTGAAATAACAATAATAATAGTCATAAACCGTGTGTCAAATCGATGTCATATGAAACTTTGTATAACTTTATAGTTGAAATCATGAGTCAATTGAATCTAGACCATCATAGAAAACCTGGAAGAATTAGACAGTCTTTTCCTTCTATTATACGACTCCTCAGAAGTACGTATCCACGATCCCGCTGCATGGGATTCGAACCTAAGACTTATAGGTCAATCTTCAATTGACTCATGAATTCAATTATTGGATTCCTTTGATTGAATTTACAACATATTCAACTTGATAAATAGATAGAAATAATGAGATAAAGCATGAACTCCAAGAATTCGAAGAGTTGAATGGCTAATAAATTAAAATCATTTCATCACTACCAAAATACATGTTTCACTTAATGTTGACATTCCATCTCATAAACCTTCTACTAAGTTTCACCTATGAGACATAAATTGTTGATGTAACCTTAAAATGTCACACGATACCTACCTGAACAAATAATAGAGTACATCTTTCCGTACGCGGTTGAGTTCGAACGCACATTCCTTTCTTCTATATCGAAAATATTAACCAGCTGACTAATGGAGCATAAACGAACGAAGTGTGAACTAGTTCATAATTTTGTTCATGAAGTCATTGACTTCAGCTCTCAGGATAGATCGGAAAGTGGAACTAGATTTACAGTGACAAATATTGTTGGTCCGTGTCAAGTATATGCAAATTATTGTGATTTTTAATGCAACAGGCACTTTTATCGGGACATCTCAGAGGATATAGCAGGCGAGTAGAAAAGCCAAGAACGAACAAAATACCCGTTGCAAACAGGTTTTCACACCAGGTTACCAATATTTGGAACCTTCTACCCGAAGCAGTGATGTTCGCACCTTCAATTGACTAATTCAAAAAGTAACTGGACACTTACGGAAGCATTCTAGATAAGAAATAACATAGGCCATAGGCTTTCTGTCCTTACTACATCAATCTAAATCTAACTGAATGTACCACGAATGATGTGTTTAATATTAATTCTGTAACAATGTGACTTTAATTGACCAGTCATTACAATAGTAAATGATTAATTGAATAAGATTTCTATTCTTTATTTTCAAGGTATTGGTTATGCATGTACTCTGATTAACTTCTTTCTCAATTGCTACTATACTGTCATATTGACATGGGCATTTCATTATATTTTCTCATCATTCACCAATGAATTACCATGGACAAAATGTGATCAATCATGGAATACACCAGCATGTCGAGTTTTTACAAGTCGGCCAATAAATTCAAGTACAATTGAGAATACTACTAAATTTAGTAATTTAAGCTTCATAACAGTCGATTCAACTACAGAATATTGGGAGTAAGAAAATAAAAGTCATTTGATTCCTTTAAAATTGTTCTTTAGTAATATAATACTAAATAAAGATAAATAGTTAGATACCAATCATACTAACTTGAAGTCGCTTCTGATGATGGTGAATAATATAAATAGTGTGTGTAGTCGCTTCATATCAATACAGTGAATCTCACTGAAAGCTCGTATGAAGATTAGAAATTCCCATTCAGACCAAATGTTTGAATTGATGAGTCGAATTAAGCTAGACCGACATGGAAACTCTGGAAACACTGGATTGCCATTTCGACCTAGTATGGGACTCCTCGGTAGTGCACATCCACGACCTCTCGCGGAGGATTCAAATTCAGGACCTACTGGTCTCGCGCTCAATCTCTTAACTTCTAGACCACTGTGTCTGCAGGGATTAAACGGTGTTAATGTCTAACTTCAATCAATCCACGAAATTATGCCACCGTCTATCATTATCTTTAATAAGTAACTGCCTCCGTTCCTTCTGTAAATATCGGTTCACAGTCTTTGATTATTATTGTACGTGCATTTTCATAGCAACTATGATTCTTTCTCGTTCTTTCCTTATCAACCTTCTACTGAATAACATTCAATGCCCAACCATCACTATAAACTACTTATGTGGATATAAGTAATCCACACCATCGTATTTTCTTAAATAATTTTAAAACAGTTGTGATCGAATTATGTTATTTATTAATGACCAGATTTAACTTCATCACTGAAAATTAATTGTCACTGTTGTCATTAGTTAAATTTCATATAGTGGATTAACCTATGTAAACATTGATTTGATTAATGTCGAGTGAAACAGGATCAGTTTTATTGAAACAAACAGATCTTTCACATTGATACTTACTTACCCTAGTTAACCCTCGAAAAGGAGCATAGACCGAGAACTAGCATTCTCCTTCCAATTCTGTCCTCGACAATATTGTCCATTTGCTACCCATTCTTCTTATGTCTGCTTTCAAGTACCGACACAGTGTGTTCTTCGGCCTCCCACTTTTCCGTCTATATTCAGGGTTATAAATTAACACTTACTTAATGATGCAGTTTGGTGATTTCTGTAATGTAATTCTTTTCCACCTTCAACATCTTTTCTTAACTTCTTCTTCGTTTGGAAGTTGGTTTGTCCTGTCCCACAGTAAACTGTTGCTGATGGTTTCACATTTATACTATAACATTAAAAATTAAACTGTTTTTCTACAAATGAAGTAGTAGAAAGCTGAAGCTATTAAATGAATAAATGAAAGCAGTTAAGTATGATACTTTGAGCTTTCAATAAAGCATATTATTCTTTCCTAAACAATAAAAATAAGTTTTAATCAACTGTTCATGGATTTGTACAGCAAATTCTTCAGTCTTGAGTGCTGTTAGAGGTATGAGGGCAGTTATCACTTCCCTGCTGCCCACACAATGGAAGGGTTCTTCTAGAGGTACCTGAAAATAAAATGGGATTTGAAGTGGTCTTAATGACTTGAGAGTGCGACCTCAGTGACCAAGGGACAACTCCCTGAGATCGCTCACACACGATCTATTTGTGAGCGATTTTTGTGTTCGCTCTGTACTTGTTGGGACCTTACCGCCGGAGACGGATATCCGTGGGATAAGGCAAGGTGTGCATTTTTAGGGTCGACCTTTTCTAACCCCAGCCCTTCTTGTGAGAAGGCAGCATCGCTGTTTTGCTGGTTGTCTGAAGGAAGAATCTTACTGCTGTCACACCTCTGTACAGTCAGCAGTACGACTTCGCATTCGGACCTTGGGTTTACTGTTTTTAGTCTTACCGCTCTTCAATCCATCTGTCTAGCAAGTTAGGACCTTGAGGAACGATTGTTCCATCCAGTATAGCTCGATTGGATAATCACGATAGGCGAGCCCGACCACCACGTCAAGGTAGCATTAACGATCGAGCTGCAAATTCTTACTTTATTGAGTATAAAATATAGAGACAATGTTAGTTTATTGAACTTGATGCTAATCTGAACAACATCATTTCATCTGTGCCGGTGGGTGGCCCATACTCCTCCATGAAGGGTAACAGGAGTAAGTAAGTAAGTAATCAATCAATCATTTTATCTAGTTTTGATTGGTATACTACCCTAACACATTTCCTTTTCTTAAAAAGGTATCGTGTATTGAGTATATCGGATGGTATACATAATATTGGAACAATACAATGGGATTTAGCTTTATGTCTTCTATTTACTTGGATTATTATATATTTATGCATATGGAATGGAATTAAATCATCAACTAAAGTAAGTAATCAATTAGTTTCCATTTTGGAGAGGCGGGGGAGGGAATGAAGTGACTTTTGTTATATTCATTGAACATTTTAATGATATTGAAAATACCATGATCATATATGAGGATGACCAAAGAACACATTACGCCGAGAAATAGAGAGAGACATGAAAAGAATGAACAAAAAAATGGATAAAACTAGAAAAGAAGGGCCAGGACAGAGTGTGTTGGAGAATGCTTATCAGCGGCCTATGCTCCATTGTGAGTAACAGGCGTAAGTAAGTAAAGTAAATATGATCATATATGAATGAAGGACTCTCTCTGATGGAACACTTGTCAAGTACTTCTTCTGAATACCTTCTGTACGTTTTTATCAAGTAATAAGGATATTTTCGTATATATTTTATAGAGTTAAATTCATGATTCCATCATTTCTGACTTATTCTACATCATCAGTGTCACCGTCATGTTCAATTTCATAACAGATAATTTGCATTACTTACTTACTTACGTCTGTTACCCCTCGTGGAAGAGCATAGGCTGCCGACAAGTATTCTCAATCCAACTCTGTCCTGAGCAATCCTTTCCAGTTCTTTCCAGTTGTTATTCATCGTTTTCATGTCTGTCTTTATTTCTTGGCGTAATTTGTTCTTTGGTCTTCCTCTTCTCCTTTGACGTTCAGGATTCCATGTGAGGGCTTGCCCTGTGACGCAGTTGGGTGATTTCTTTAATATATATTCCCAATCCACTTCCAGCGCTTCCTCCTGATTTCTTTCTCCACTGGATGTAATCTGGTTTGTTTTCTCCCACAGTAGCTTGTTGCTGATAGTATCTGGTCAACGGATATTATTTCCCTTGCGTAAACAACTGTTGATAAACAATTGTATCTTCTGGATGATGTCTTTCGTAGTTCTCCAAGTTTCCGCCCCATACAGTAGAACTATCTTGACATTTTGTTCTTGGTTGACAATTATTTTGAGTTCCACATATTCTTCATATCCAGAACCTTATGAAACAAAACGCATTCATGTTATTCTACTCGAATCTTAGTTCTTTCACTATTCCAGTCCATAAACTTCACTAGACTTCACTTGAAACGATCTGATTTCCTTGTTAACTATAATAGTTAATCAAGTTTACTGACTTTTATTTATTTTATATAGATTATGTATGTGACAGCACTTTTACCATATGGATTTATGATTATATTATTAATACGTACTGCATTACTTGATGGTGCTTTAAATGGATTAATTCAATATTTAAAACCGAATTGGTCAAAATTAACAGATATGACTGTAAGTAGTAATAAGTAGTATTCATTATTTTATCTTTTTTTTTTACAAATTTTCATGGCTGAATAGCTCCTGTTATTAGGTTATAAATGTACTATTTGAAAACCAAAGATGTTATGAACAATGTGATGTTTCGAAGAATTCCATGGATCTGAATCGATTTCAATAAGGTTCATAATTTCCCACAAACGTTTTCCACTGATACACCTCAATATAATGAACAAAACAAATCGTACAACGCATAAATATTGATATAAAGGGGTGCAGAATATATGTGCGTCACACAAATCTAATTTGATTTATGTGTGTGCTATGATATTGCCCGCGTGCCTAAACCGAAGTAAGTGGTTTACTTAAGGGGGGCTACACTCCGAATATTTGACCTAAAGATCTAATCCACAAGGTAATGGAGCAACATCAGGACGGTGACCAACAATTGGTTCATACCCCATTTGTTACTTCAGGATCCTGGAGCCTATGTGAACCGTTGGTTTGGAATCAAGGTTTTCCGACTTCCCTAGATGGATTTTCTGTGTCTACCAATAAGGTGAAAACGCCGGACATTCGCTTTTCGTCCTCTCAATTTCGTAAACAGTAATGTTACCAGAAAACAATGAGTAGGACATCTCTGCTAATGGATGTATACGGTTTGCCATGTGAGAGCGTTAAGAGAGAGATAACTCTCCCTACCCTCGGCTGCATCAGGACAACTTACATTACAAATACATTATTTCACTAGCTCATATTTTAGCAACCTAATCAGAACGCAAAATTAATTGACTTTGCAAAAAACTCATTATTCACCATTTGTTATATGAATATGAATGTTTAACCGGTCAAATAAATTATTCAAAACTGATTTTTGACCTTGCCACGTTCATGTATTTACATTAGTTTCGTTTTTGATTGAGATCATAAATCGATTGATAATAGACTACCATTGGATATATGAAGGCACTAGAAGGTCATTTCGTTGTAGTATGGGACTCCTGAGCAATGCACGTCCACCATCCCTTACGTGGGATTCGTACCTGGAATCTATCGGTATCGCACACGAACGCTTAACCTCTAGACCATTGAGCCGGCTGGCATCCAACGGTGTTAATGTTTAACTTCAACCAACCCACGAAATTGCGCTAAAGTCTTTCATTGTCTGAGGTAAATACCTGTCTCTACCTGATATTCATTAGGTACACTGGTCACAGTCTTACAACAGAACTCCGAGAATTCCCTCACGAACGTAGTCACTGGTATGCAATCTAATGAATCACAATTCATTTGTTTATTCATGATGTTTATAACATTCCTATGACGTGAAATAAAATCCTTCTGTACAATTGATAGATGAATGAGTAATAATTAGTACAACATTAGTCTAGCCCCTCAAGTGTTGAAGGAATTCATTTGATCGAGTTTTAATCTGAGCATTAGTTTAGATAATTCGACATCCTATACACTGTGTTGAGATGTTGGTTGGTTGACGGTCGTTTAAAAGAAACTATAGACTTAGTTTGGTACTTGACGACAAACATTCTCTGTAATCTCGAAGAATTGGTGTTCCCGGTAGGATTCAAACCTGCGTCACTCTATTTCATAGTCTGAGACGTTTTCACTAAGCTATTCGGATAGTGACTGACCTAATTTGAATTTGAAATGCTTCAAGATGATTGCTGATTATATATTTCAGATTTAACCAAACAGTTTTAATCTATATTTGCTTACAATGCTTGTAAATTTAGGCTATATCGAGGCAATACACACAGTATGCACATATGCCAATAAGAGACTGACCAGTTGCAGTCCTAACACATCGATGAGAAGATTCAAACAAAATAATACTAATTGAATTTAAACTTCACCCCATTGAACAAGCACGTAGCTATCAGGACTCAGTAGATGAGTGAATAACGCGGTGTCATTTGAAGGGAAAGTTACTGGGTTCGAATCACAAAGTGAACATCAACTCTGAGATGCAGGTACATCCAGCTGATGAGTCCCAAATAGGACGAAACGCGCGTCAAACTTGATTCCACTGCTAGCCATTATCCATGCTTGTGAATTTAGGCTATATCGAGGCAATAAGCACAGTATTCACATATGCCAATATGAGACTGAACATTTTTGTAGTCCTAAACCATCAATGGGAAGATTCAAACAAACAATACTAATTGAAGTTATAATCGACTTCTTACATTAGTAGTATAAAGATTACTATTACCTATCATTATCCCACTATCATTACTAAACTGTTTATATGAAGTACGTTATCAATTTGATAATATAATGATAATTAAAATCATGATTCACTTCATTGTTTGACTTTATCTTGTTGATAATTTAATTGAGTTCAATAGTTTAAAACTTTCAAACGTTGATTGTTTTAATTAATTAAGAAACGATCATAACAATAACAAATAAGAATTATGTTTCATAGTTAAAATCATGAGTCCATTGAAGTTAGACCACCATGGAAAACCGTGAAGCACTGAAAGGCCGTTTCGTCGTATTATGGGATTCCTCAGCAGAGCGCATCCACTATCCCGCACTCGCGAGGTTCGAACTCAGGACCTATCAGTCTCGCTCGCGGGATTTTGGTAGGGATCGTGGTTGCGCACTACTGAGGAGTCCCATAATACGACGAAACGGCCGTTCAGTGCTTCAAGGTTTTCCATGGTGGTCTAACTTCAACGGACTAATGATTTTAACTATAAAATTACTAAAATCTTCACAAACTACCCCTTCTGATTAATCTTTTGTTCATTGTTTTATTTCAAGGTATGGTCGGATGCAGGAACTCAAATATTTTTTAGTTATAGTCTTGGTTTAGGTGTATTAACTGCTTTTGGTAGTTATAATAAATTTCATCATAACTCTTTACGGTAAGTATCATTTAAAAATTGATTCTATTAACTATCCTTGGTAACTTTTCAAATGTTACGAACCGAAATGTTCAGGTAAACAACATTTTAACATGACTACAGTGACATTTTTTGTGTGTTAGCGTTTCTTCTAGCGAGTTAGTTTTCTACGGGATAGGATCGCTAACCCTGTGCCCTAACCTCCTCCTTTATCCAGGCTTGGGACTGTCAGTAACCTCCGAAGGGGCTACAGGTGGAGTTACTTTTTTGCGTGTAAAAGTCAATTTCCACACAAGTATCATTGATGAACAAGGGAGAATCCGATGCAGACGGAAACGCAAGGATTGTAATATTAAGGACAGTATTACTACAGTTGAACAATATATACAACTCAAAATAACTGTCAACCAAAATCAAAGTCACAATATTCAACATGAACGTCAAGACAGTTCTACTGAATGGAGTTGGTCTGTGGCGAACCACCATAATCATCATAAAAACCGTACAAGTATTTGTAAACAATTGTCTAAGTAAGATACTCAACATTCATTGATCGGATATCTCCAACTTTAGAATAGAACAATCCAGATGTGTTGGTTATTGGAAGCAGACATGAGAAGAGTAAATAGGAACTGTATAGAACTGGAAAGAATTGCATATATCTCATCTTTGTTAGTTAATACCAATACTGTCATTAAACTAATTATATTACATAAAGTTAAGATCATGAGTCGATTGAAGTTAGATCACCATGGAAAACTTTGAAACACTAAACGGCGGTTTCGTCCTATTTCGGGACTCCTCAGCGGTGCGCATCTACGATCCCGTCTCGCGAGATTCGAACCCAGGACCAACCAGTCTCACGCCAGAGCACTTATCTCATGATCTCAATTCAATAAAATTACTAAGATCTCCACAAAACTCCTTCTGGTTATTGTATTTCATCTATATAAAACTGAATGTTTCAATGTAGAAAGATTCACATTCTATCACACAGAGATAATGGTAAATACCAAAAGAAACTCAAATGGGAAACATTGAAATGATTGGCATATTTACGTTATTCATTTATTTATCCATTTCAGAAAAGGAAAAAAAAGGAATTAAACTAATCCATTGTGTTACTGACTTATGTGTGTTCGTTACGACGAAATCATCCACTTAAGCTGTTCATTCGTATTGATAGTTATATAGTTAATATATGAGTCTATAGAAAAATAGAAAGGGATTTCATCAAAAAAGTGATTCAAGCTTGTAATTATCAATTAAGGTCATGTATTAATCAAGGGGGATTAGAAGGATGAAAATAATTTATGGGTCAGAATTATGGAAGATAATTGTCCTCTTGACAGATATGAAGAAAAACGAAAAAAACATATATAGGTCATATTGTTGGTAAAGGGATAGTAATAACTGACGACGGTTTAAAATGACAAAACACTGATTTTAAAGAAAAAAAAAGATACCCAAAACATACTACAGAAGGGAATGAAGACCAAGGATTTGATGAGAAGTTGGACGTATCGCTTTTGCACGTAGAGCTCTGTGGTGAGTAGTTGGATCTTCAGGAGGACCCAGCTATAAGAATTCGTGTGTTCTTCATTCCAGGTTGCTTTACTATGTATAGATCTCTGTAGAACACTATCGGACCATCTTTTCAATCGGGTATTAAGAAAATGAAATTCATTGTTTGCTTCTGCTTTTAAAATGAATTGAATTGAGGGGTGATAATTATTGAAACCATTCAAAATTTCATTGAGGTCCATGTCTTCTTTACAAATAATGAAAGCATCATTCATCTATCTCTTATATAAATGAAATCTCTCAATTGTTGCTCGAAGTACTGTATTTTCTAGATTGGCTATGAAACAGTCAGCCAAGAGGTGACCGAACTGGAGAATCCATGGCAACTCCAGCTTCTTGTCTGTACAACTCATCATGAAATCTGAACTGCATTTTGGGAGTACATCGTAGAAGTAACTATTTTAGATGATGTTTTGGGATTATTATTTTCAATATATTCAAATAAGAAACATGTAGTTTCTGTGAGAGGAACATCTGCAAAAAGAGAATTAACATCTAATGAGAACATTTTTCTACCATTTACATTGATCTTTCTAACTGAGTCGAAAAAATCAAAGGAATTCGCTTTGGGCCACATCAATGTATATCTATAATTTTACTCGCTCATATGAGGGCAGGTTACATTGAATGCACAAAGTGATCACTTTCCAAACGTATCTCAGAACATTATCCGACATGGTTTTTAAAAAGAGAATGTAAAACAATTACTAGTTCAATACAGAAGCATTTCATCGACCGTGAACACGTAATCCAGGATGAGTCTTCTCTTAAAGTAATCTACACAATGAAAAAAATTAGATCCAAAGGAATTCCAATCAATATCTTATGCACTGTTAAGGCATTGGCAATCCACCAACTCATGACCGAAATTTGCACGCAAAGACGATTCATCCCACCTCTCATCCTTTCTTGTCCTTAATTCCCTTTAGTAGCATGTTTCGGCTATTTTTCTCCTTTTGTTTCACTTATATTTGATTATTATTGATTTTATATAGTTGACATCAAGAGTCAATCGAAGTTAAACCACCATGAAAAACCTGGACTCTCGTGCTCAAGACTGACAGGTCCTGGGTTCGAATCTCAACGAGGCGAGATCGCGGATGCTCACTGTTGAGGAGTCCCACAATACGACGAAACGGTTGTTCAGTGCTTCTAGGTTTTCCTTTTTGGTCTAGATTCAATTGACTTATGCTTTCAACTATGAAAATAACTATTATTGTTACAACTATGTGATAATAAATGATTCATCATTAACATCAATGATTAACCAGAGGGTAATTAACAGAGAGGTTAGTTTTTTTTAAATTTGTGACATAGGATTTGAGTAATTCACTTGGTATTGTCTCATTTGAATCTTCCCATTGATGTTTAGAACAGTAAACGATCACTATATTATGTACCTATGTGCACTGCTTCGATATTGCCGTAATTCACAAGCATTATAAGCAGTGATGAATAGTGTCTAACAGTGGAATCCAGGAGGCGGGTTTCGTCCTATATTGAATCAATATGCACAGTATGCACATATGCCAATAAGAGACTGGTTGCAGTCTTAAACATCATTTGGGAAGATTCAAACAAACAATACCAAGTGAATTTAAACATCATCCCATTGCACAAACAAGTAGCTGTTAGGATTCAATAGTTAAATGGATAAAGCGATGACGTTTGAAGCGAACGATATTGGGATCTAGTCTCAATGATTCTTTCTTTTCTTTCTCATTCATAGGAATCATATTATCTAATTGAAATATTGATTTTTTTTTTCTGTTTTATTTTTCTTATCAATTAGAGATTGTTGCCTATTTGCATTAGTTAATACCTTCACTAGTTTACTATCTGGATGTGTTATATTTTGTACACTTGGTTATATGTCATATATATCAAATATACCATTAAATGAAATTGCTGAATCTGGTCCTGGACTTGGTTTTATTGTATATCCTAAAGCAATTGGTACAATGCCTGGTAGTCCATTTTGGTCAATATGTTTCTTTATTATGATTATCTTATTAGGTATTGATAGTATGGTAAGTGTAGTTAATGAAGGATATGGTATTTTCCAATTAGGATAATCTCTTTACTTGTACGTCACTAGGTTTGTTTAATATATTTACACATCTGGAATGTAGATATTATTATCAGGTCAGTCAGGTCAGCTACAACGTAGGACCAGGCACATATATGCATCGGTCCAAGTTGCCATACCTCGTTAGCACAACAAGAGGAACACCGGATTCATAGTAGTTAATCTAGTGTTGGTAGTAGTATATAAATTATAGGTTGTATATAAGGATATCGTATAGGAAGGAAGAGAGATATGAAGCAATTTATTATTATAATTATTATTAATTATTATTATTATAATCTTCTATGATTACAGTTGGTAAACAGGTAAAAGCTTGTAGGTTTTACCTTAGCAACAACAACAACAACAACACAAAAAAGTTATGATCGTACAAATCAATGAACTGTTACATAATTCAAGTATTAACCTTGAATGTTATCGAATTAAAAGAAAGCAGATTACTGAGGCACACTGAATCAAATCATAAATTGGACATGTTAAATGATGACTTATGACCTGCCACCCTATCAATATATAACGTTATGATACCGCCAATCAGAGAATAGTGACCTATAGACCGGATCAATGACACGTAAATTTGTATGAGCAGTCTAGAGACTTTTTCTGTCCTTCTCCATGGGTAGCCCTGCCTGTTGAGTCTAGAACGCCAATTTCAGCTTCCACTATGTGAAACATTTATTTTAAACATATTGGGTTTATATATCGGCCAAATAGGCCACATTGCACCACAAAATAGAAGACGAAATTTATACAAGACCAAACCAAAATTGGCTGTGAACGAGAGAGACTGTAAATAATGGACTAGGCCCTGGTACGGCTATGATTGGGAAGAGACCGCCCTCCATCTCCGAATGCTCTAACATGGTCACGCGTATATAGCCTCTGTCAGGGAAGTCCTACTCACTGCTTTCTCGTGGCATCACTGTTGTTTACGAAATCGAGAGGACGAAAAGCGAATGTCCAGTGATTTAACCGGATTGGTGGACACGGAAGGTCCACCTAGGGGAGTTGAAAACCCTCATTCCAAACCATTAGTCCACATGAGCTCCAGTATCCTGTGAGGAACAAATGGAGTATGAATCAATCGTTGGTCACCGGTTACCATGGTACTGCATCTTCCAACGTTGCTCCACTGCCTTGTGGATCAGACCTCTAGGTCAAAGGCCTCCTAAGAAAGCCACCTGCTTTAGTTTGGGCATCTGGGCAGTATCACAGCCCTCACACAAATCAAATGAGATATATCCGGTGTATATATATCTGATGCCACTCTATACCGATATTTTTGTGTTTAAATAGATAAATAAATAGTATAATATTAGTCTATAAATAAATCCCAACAGTTGCAAATCCTAATTCTCGTCGGAATGCAACAACGATACATAAAGTTATGTCAATTTGAGTGAGTTCTTGCCCAGTTGATATATATGAACGTGCTGACTCCCGCCAATGAGAGAGAATTGAATTATTGATCAGAGGAACGACACACAACAACCGTATGATCAGTCTTTGTTATTTATCAGTCCTGTTTTCTACCTATCCCAGCCAGTTACGTCCAGAACATCAATAACAGCCTCTGCAATATGAATCATTATTCACAAACATACTGAGTTTATATACCAAACAGACAGACCACATCATACCATAAAATAAAAAACAACATTTGTGCAAGATTTAGCCAAATGTGGCTGTGAGTAGAGCGAACAGTAATTAATGGACTGGGGATAACTCAGGAATAGTAAATCGTACAGAAATAGTCTATGAGTCAAAATAAAGCTTATAATAAAACGAACATGAATATGAATAGATAGGTTCCTTAGCAATTATACAATAGGAAATGTAATTATCATATTGGTTCATAAATAGTTCTCAAAGTTACTATTCATAAATCTCTACGGGATACAACAATAAGGAGATCATTCACAGGATGCCACAGTATAACATTATTCACACTATTGTTAATGAAGTGTAATGAATCATAATTAAAGATGAGATATATTATTACTAGAGCTTTGATTCTTGCTATTCCACATACTACCAGACTACTTAAACGATCGAACCCGCAACATTGCAAGAGAGAGAAGACAGAATGGAATGGAATGTGTTCGGCTCTTTTTGGGCTTCTTGAAGCTTCCTTTAGTTTACAAACGAGCCATCCTTACAAGATCGTTACTGATACATTACCTACTTAGTTACTATTATTGATTATCTCATTGATAACTTTAATTCTAAAAATCCATTTAATAAATGAAATGTTTCTATTCTACAAAAACAGTTTGCTGGAGTTGAAGGTTTTATTGTAGCTGCTGGAGATTATTTTCCTTATATTTTAATGAACAAAAAGTATCGTTGTATCTTTGTCGGTTGTGTATGTATTGTATCATATTTTGTTGGATTGTCAATGGTCACTAATGTAAGTGGATTGACGTTTTTTACTTTCTTTCTTGATCTTAACTTGAATTTTCGATTTACTTAGTTATCTAACAAAGACAATGTTAAACTAGAGTTGGATATGTGAATTGTGTCAGTTAACAGAGTTGATCATAGAAGTTGATGCAATTTATGACTATGTTATATGTTGTGGTTGAGTGGATGCCTTTTTAACGTATGACGTGATAAAACCGTCAATCCGAGAGCAGCGAATTATCGATTGCAACAGTGAGACACGAAACTATACGAGCAGTCTAGAGTACATATCGGTCCTGCTTTCTGTCAAGCCCAGCCAGTTAAGTCCAGAACATCAATGTCAGCCTCTACGGTTTGAATCATTATATTTCAAATATACTGAGTTTATATACCAATCAAACAGACTGCATCGTACCATAAAATAGAAAATAACATTTGTACAAGATTTAGTCAAATGTGGCTGTGAATGTGGGAACAGTAATTAGTAGACTGGATGTAATTTATGAACGGTAAACCGTATAACAGTAGTTTATAGTTCAAAATTAACCTCATGATAAAGGGAACATGAATATGAATAGTTATTTAGCAATTATACAACAAAAATATACGCATGGTACTTGTCCATAAATGGATCCCAAAGATACCATTCACTCTTGTTACCGGGATACAACAGACTTAATCAATGTTCCGAAATCACCTTCATCAACATCTTCGTTAGGAAAGTTATTTTAATGTGTAATCACTGTAGCTTTAGAAATGGAAATTCCTTGGAAATACAGATAAATATCTGATAACCACTTCATATTTCTTGTTAATTGAACAATAGACATCAATTATACAATAAAGAGGGTATACTAAGATAAAGAGAGGATATAATGATGAATTTACTTAACTGTTTATCAGAGCTGTCCTACACATTATTTGTAAACTATGTAAGTATAGTTGAAGATTACTTTTGGACGTTTACTAACTTAAAATAAGTTATACTTCGCATGCTCGTGGAGAATGCCACTGTGGAAGCTCCGTTCTGGTTAAATAAGTGTTAGACATACTAAATCTTCATAAACCACTTGTGAACGTCTCATATTTTTCGTTTTTTATTTTGGAAATTTGAACTCATCATTTTCGTATTGAAGGTGCCCACTATAGTCTTAAATTTGTATTTCCCACTTGGTTTGTTTCCTGTTTTGTACTCTATTTTTTGGCGTTTTCCGAAGACATTTTGGTAATGTGTATATATACATGAGTTGTGTGCTTGTCGTTCGTTCTTCTGAGCTGCTTGTGGAATATATATATATCCCCACTTGAATCTGGTCTTCTTGCACCAGTTAGAAGGACTGGGGCATAGTGGAATAGCTTAGCTTGTCCTGTTGTGGTGTTGCTGGCTTTAGTTCCGTTTGCGGGTTTTAGGTGATATGGTAATCCCTTAAAAAGTAGCACGAAGAAAGAAGCTTGATGAGTAATCTTCCTACTGCTATTCAATTGAGTTGTCTTCACTTCATTTACCTTGTCTTATATTTCAACAGTATACAATAACTCTTCTCTTTATTTATGCATTTTTTCTTTAGGGTGGAATGTACGTATTTCAATTACTTGACTATTACAGTGGAAGTCGTATCATACTGATTGTGGGGTTGTTAGAATCATTAGTCATTGGATACATTTATGGTGAGTTTAAATATAATTTACTGGAAGAACATTTGTTTAACTTTTTTATTAGTGTGAGGTAATGAAATGAATCTTAAAGCATCAGTGGAATGAAAATCGTTTTCTGGATCTACCATGTTTACACTCTATCATTTGCTACTCTTTTCTTACTTTAGATATTTCATCCGACAATACAGAGTGATGAGTACTTTATGAAAGGAACATGAAGAAACCATTAGTCATTTGAAGCAAGATCACACAGAAAAAGCTGGAAGCACTGGACGTCTGTTTCTTCCTAATAGTGGGCAACAGTGGGCAGCCACAACCTGGCCTGAGGGATTCGAACCCCCTTTCGATAATAATAATAATAATCATGTGCTCACTAGTGACTGGCTCCATGAGGTATTTCATGGAGTTCTAGTGAGAAGCAGTGGCCAGTGGTGTTCAACCGGGTCTCTTGTGAGATAGTAACTCACTGAAGACAATGGTGGACGTTTGCTCAATTTCGTGGATTGGTTGAACTTAGACATTGACACCGTTGAATGTCCGCCGGCTCAGTGATCTAGTGGTTACGTGCTCGCGCGCGAGACTGATAGGTCGTGGGTTCGAATCTCGCGAGGCGGGATCGTGGATGCGCACTGCTGGACAACCCTGCAATAGGAAGAAACGGCTGTCTAGTGCTGTCGTCTGGCTTCAATTGACTCATGATCTCAACTGTGAAGAAAACAGTCTAGATATTTTCTACTTTTACATCATACTACTTAAATAGCTAATTTAAGTAACTTCATGTCAGATGTCTTTTAAATAAAAATAACTGCAAACACTGATTGGATTGAATTATCAGTCAAATGACATAAAAATTGAGTACTTTTCACTGGATATCAACATTTTATTCCTGAAGTTAAGAGCTTTGAAATGATTAGAATAGCCATGTAATTCTAGGGAACGTTTCTATACTATATAACTGTTTTCAAGGTTACAAATAGCTATAGACACTGAATGGACAACACTAATTGATCAGACAGCACTACTGTCCTAGGCATAAAATAAACAAAAATAGTCGTTAGCTAAAACGGTTATCTTATGATAGAAGAGTAGACTTGGGAGATGAAGGTAAATCGGCGAATAATGATGAAACAATTTAGCAAGCATTAAACTAATTGAAACTCCGCCTTTAGCTGTTCTAGGGCTACTGCCAGTGCCAAGCCCACAAAAAGGAGGAACATTGGGGATGTATTCAGCAACCCCATACCGTAAAATTAACTTTGCAAAAAACCCTAAACAGAATAGACAATTTAAACCATTTAAAATCTGTCCTCGGATTACAAGGAAGAATTATGACGCCTCATGATGAAAGCCGAGATTCTTCGGACGTCACGGGTCCGATACCTCTTCTAACAACCAGAACCAGACTTCACATAGGTACTTGATAAATCCGGACAATATGGGACACCGGAGGGATCAATCAAATGGCTATGGAAATGTGGACATACAATATGGCAATTCTCGGAAACAATGAAAACCATTGGACAGAAGTTGGACAGAAAACATTAGATTTGAGAGAGATTCTGTTGTACTGTGCTCAAGAAAAATGTTCCTTACCCTCGGAGAGTTGCTCTGGGATGGGAATTTAATGGACCCCGAATCATCAAAGCATCCTTCAAATCGAAGATGAAGAGAATCACAATGAATATTATACAATGTTATATACTCACCAAAAATAAAAAAGCACCAGACAACTAGACGAACACCATTACGAAGGTTCAATACAGATTTCCTATGATATAATGACAAAATCAACAAATTCAAGATAGCTTTCAACAACAGGTCCCGAGCATCGCAAAATATACTTAGAGAAGTGGAGACTACTATGGAGAACACCTGAGAAGGGATCAAAGAAGCATTAACTTTAACACATCAGAATGTGATGGGTAGCAAGAATTATCATCATAAGTAATGGATCTCTATCAAAACCCTAGACAAGATTCAAGAAAGGAAGTACAAAAAGACAACGTTTAACAACAGCCGACAAGAACAGAGAAAGTTAAGGCACAAGCGGAGCACACAGTTGCAAACAAGCAAATGAAGAAAAGCATTAGAACCGACGAGTAGAAATATATGGGAGATCTAACGACGACATTGGAAAAAGCTGTAACATAAGAAAATATCAAAAAGCTATATGACAAGATGAAGAAACTCTCGGGGAAATATAGTAAACCAGAAATACCGGTCAAGGACAAAGAAGGCAAACCAGTCACTGAGTTTCAGGGACACACGAACGAATGGGTGGAATACTTTGAGGAACTCTTGGATTGAGCAGCTCCATTGAATTCAAAAGAACAGATAAAACTTTTTACAGATGTCACTTCAGCAGGATCTGACGATATACCAGTCGAAGCGCTGAAGTCACAGATAGAATTAACGGCAAACATGCTCTATGTTCTATTCAAGAAGATTTGGGAGGAGGAACAAGTGACACAGACAGATGAAAAGAATGATATCTCATCAAGATACCAAACAAAGGAGATCTGGGCGAATGTGAGAACCGCAGAGATATCACACTACTATTAATAAGAGGAAGAGTTTTGACAGTTTGTGGAACTGGTTGAAAGATTCACTATGCGCTCAACTTCGTGACCAACATACCGAATTCCATAATGATCAGTCGTGCACATATCAAAATGCGACACTACGGATCATCATTGAACAATCAATTGAATCGAATTCGCTACTATATATCAACTTCATTGATTATGAGAAGACGTTTAACCGTGTAGACAGGAAGATATTATGGAAACGTCTTCGAGACTATGTAGTGAGTGGCTGCGAAAATCGTCAAAATCATACGACATGCTACACTGAAAAGTGTTACATGGAGGATAGCTGGCAGACACATTGCAAGTGAGGATCATAGTCAGACAAGGCTACTTATTCTCTCAAATTCTCTTCCCTCTGGTGGTTGACTGGGTTATGAAGACCTTGACATCTGAGGGGAGCACGAAATACAATATACAGATTGAATGCAACTAGACTATTTTGACTCCTCAAATGTACTAGTCCATCTTTTCTATACACATCAACAAATCCAGGTCAAGAAAATCGGTGCGTCAGCAGTCTATGCATTTGTATGCCTCAACATACACAAGGGGAGAAGTAACATCCTCAAATACAACATGGAAAACACCAACTAATCAAACCGATCACACTTCATGGGGAAATTCCGGGACAGATGTAGACTATCACATTCCTGATCAGTAGCATCATCGATGAACAAGGAAGATCTGGTTCAGACGTAAAAGTAATGATTAGAATAGTGAGAACAGCATTCTTACATTTGAAGAACATATGCAACTCAAAACAACTGTCAACCAATATCAAAGTCAGAATATTCAATATGAACATCAAGACAGTTCTAGGGTACGGAGTTAAAACTTGGAGAACTACCACAACCATCATCAAATAAATACACGTATTTAAAAACAATTGTCTATATAAGATACTCAATATTTGTTGGCCGGATACTATCATGAACAGCTTACTATGGGAGTAGACAAATCCGGCGTAAGTAAGTAGGTATAACTTTTTCCTGACAGAAATTAGAAATATATTTATAAAATTTTATGAGTCATAATTGGATTTGAAATAGCTTACGTTAGCGAAATAAATAATGAAGGCCAAGGAGTATAATTCTACCATTCCACTATTGTTAAGGGTTTCTCCCAGAATGTTCGACGTTTCCGTAAAACACACCTAAATGATGGTTAACTATATTCTTATCAATGACTGGTTTATCAATAATGTCATGTTTAGTGTACGTTAGTAGAAGATTATTGGTTGGATTTCGTGTAGTTCAATGGATATGGATTTCTGAGAACCAAAAGGTATAACAGGGAAACTCTCTGAAGGTTTCTTTTTGTAAGCCTTAAGAATAACCTCAAACTTCTTTATTCTATTGTTTTTTTAAACTCCAGGTTACAAACGTATTTCAAATGATATGGAAATGATGTATGGATTCTCATTAAAATGGATTGTATGCTTATTCTGGTGTATAGTAACACCTATATTTACTTTTGTAAGTGTAATTCAAAACTTTATATTTCGTAGGTAAAAACTGTTCAATTTGTCAATAAACATTAACATAACACAGATAATCAACGATCACACCATAATGAATGATAACCTAGTCAAATTTTAGTACAATGGAACAAGCTGTTAGTCAAATGTAGAACATTGAATTCTCTCTGACATAAATCCTGATAATTTTGAGCAACAGCACAATGACTACATGATGGATAAGAGTGAAATCTAATACACTCAGTTGATTTTATATACTACTGTCTACATTGGCTAAGTAGTAGTTTTATGTCGTAGGAGTAGGTTGGAAGAAAGCTAGGGACGGCCAGATCAAAACGTGGCACAAATTGGTGGGTGTAGACTACCCTGTTGGGATTCGCGAAATGGTAACAACTGATGGTTAGAAACTTTGAATGACATGGCTCAAAATCGTTTGCAATGGCAAAGGTGCATCCACTCTTTGTGTTCTATCAAATTCTTATCTTCTGGATTCTTTATCTCTCTATCCTTTTTCTCTTTGCAAATTTATTTCACTTGGATATACCCCTTGAATAAAATCTACTGTTTAAAATGTATCTCTGTGCTAATGTGGTATTGCAACTCGAACTGACGTACGTACGTACGAAGTTCTACGTTATGACTGACTGACTGAGTATAATTCTTTGCTTAAAACCTGAATATTCTGATATTTTGTTAGTTATTTAGCTAAACTTACTGAGTAATCCTATTTTAAGGATAAAACGTTAAGAGTAGATGATACTCGTAAGTTACTAATATTTGATTACAGATGTCTTAAAAATATTGCTCTGCTGGAATCACCGGGTAAGTAATAGTGAGCTTAGATGCAGAGTGTTAGAGAATGAGATAGTTGGGCTACGTTTTATGTATGCCTAACCACCAATTAACACGACGTGTACTGCTGAATAGTGTTAGAGGCGGTCGGAAGAAAGTTCGAGGTGACCAAAACAAGAAGTGATATCAGTGCTTGAAGTCACTAACTTCCGGTAGATGCAGAATACTTGATTGGGGTCCGCGCGACTATCTTAACCAACGGTTTGAGACCTGGGGCGACATGGCTCAGAATCGATCTTGATGGCCTAGGTGTATACCCTGTTTGTCTGCCTTTATACCTTTCATTTTACAAACTAATTCTTTCTTCCTGTATTATATCCTGATACACAATCTTTCTTTTATATATTAGTACCATTGAAGTAATTACTATGAATTTGATGTTCATCTTGTTATACTAATGAAGTATGGCAACTTGGACTGATACATATATGTGCCTGGTCCTACGTAGTAGCTGACTGACCGAATGGTAAATTTATTTGAAATTATCAGGTCAAACCTTGATAATGACATTTACATAATGGTGATAGTTTATGATGAAACTTTTCTTCAAATTGACTACTCAACATTACTTGGCTATGGTAGACATTTGTAGCTCAGGTGGGTGATTTTGATGTGGGTTTGTTCTCTGAGCTGGATGGTTTGGTCGTGGAGCTTTCATTGTCCTTCTGAAGCAATCAACATCAAGATGCACAGGACAAGTTGTGAATCACATGTGGAGAAATTCAAACACTTCACTTCTACCCGAAGTTTGTAGATATGATGTCGTTCAGAAGGACGATGAAAGCTCCATGACAAAACCATCCAGCTAAGAGAACAAACCCACATCAAAAATTACTTTGCTATGTTTTCTATTTGTAAATAAATGGATGTATTGTCATATTTTCTGTTTTGGAAAATTATAGGCTCTTTTCATTATCAGCGTTATTGTCTATGAAGAACTAACTTATAAAAGGGCATCTATTCATGAACCATATCGATTTCCAGGATGGGCTGTGAAAGTTGGTTGGCTTATAGCTAGTTCAAGTGTACTTTTAATACCACTTGTAATGATTATTAAAATTTTCCAAACATCAGGAACATTTATACAGGTAAGTTGTGAATTATTTCTCTTTTCAGTTCCTTTTTTGATGATGATAGATCCAACACTGGTTTTAAAATGTCTAAGTCATTCAATTGAAACCCATCCGGAATCGAAGAAAGTCAATCAGAATGTAGGTATAGTAGTTATTTATGAAATAGCAACCAAAAATTCCAACAGGAATTAGATTTTTAAAATGTAGTTCCTCTCGGAGGTTTATCAGTTACATTTAGACGGAGATTTATTATCAAACAAGATGTTATTCTTTGAATAATCTGTTGATAATCATCGGAAACCGACAATAGCGATTAGTATGGACTATTGATTAAAGTATATAGATAGTGTTGTATATTATCCAAGCTTAAACTAAAACTATATAAAATTACTGAAATCTCCACAAATCCCCCTGGCTTCATGAGATATTTATGGAGTTCTAGTGAGAAGCAGTAACCAGTGTAGTTCAACCAGGTCTGTTGGGCGATGTCAACTCACTGAAGACATTAGTGAATGGTTGCTCAATTTCATGGATTAGTTGAAGTTAGACATTATACCGTTGGATGCTTTATTTTGGCTTTTAGATTATTATGATACGATTTACCATTCTTGATTAATGGCTAGTCTATTAATTACAGTCTCCCACGTTCACAGCCACCTTTTGGCTAGATCTTGTTTAAATGTTATTTTTTAATTTATGGTATGATGTGTTCTATTGGGCTAGTATATAAACCCAGTAAGTTTGAGATATATGATTCATATAGTGAAAGCTGATATTAGTATTCTGGGCTAACCTGGAAAAGCTAAGAGGACAAAGGATTAATAATGATGCTAGACTGCTCGTACCAGTCGAACATCATTAGTTTAGCATATTACTAAGACTGGACAAGTCATATTTCGATTAGCAAATAAATCATGTGATAATTATCTGGGCTTAAAGTCACACCGGCAAAGCAAGGGCAGCATTTCTACAATTGAAGAACATATGGAACTCAACTGTCAACTAATTTCAAAGTGAGAATCTTCAATACGAACGTCAAGACAGTCCTACTGTACGGAGCTGAAACGTGGAGAACTAAAACATCCATCGTCAGGAGAAGATAAAAAGTATTTATAAACAGATATCTACGCAAAATGCTCAACATCCATTGGCCGGATACTATCAGCAACAGCGTTTTATGGGAGAGGACAAACTAGCTTCCAGCTAGGGAGGAAATTAGAAAAAGACGTTGGAAGTGGATCGGACATATTGTGAGAAAATCACCAAACTGCGTCACGATGCAATCCTCAACTTGTAATGGTGAAGGGAAGCGGAAAATCGGAGGGCCGAAGAACACACTATGTCGGTAATTGGAAAACAAAGATGAAAAGGATAAATAACAACTGGAAAGAACTGGAACGGGTTGCCCACGACAGAGTTGGATGAAGAATGCTGGTGTGCCGCCTATGCTCCTCCACGACGAGGGGTAACAGGCATAAGTAAGTTAAAGTAAGTTAAGGTCGCAACATTCACAATTTTCAAGTTACTAAGTTGTTTCACCAACACGATTTTCATAAATGATAATCAAATAAAAATTAAATCGTTTAAAGATCCCCATCCCCCCTCCCAGAAATTAAATCGATTCATATTCTTATCTGTTGCTAATTCTAATGATTCAAAAGTGTATTTTCTCTTCATAATATCGATTGACTGATTTGTTCCTATATTTTTTTTATTTTCATTTTTTTTGTATCCAAGAGAATAAAAACTTTATGTATTCCAATTATTGATAATAATACTGATAATGATAAATTTACAGAGAATTCAAGTGAGTACTCATCATTTCCATTGTTCATTTGATATCATTAATTGAAGTATATTGTTAACTGAAAAGTTGAAGAAAAAAAACGAGAACTCTTTGATGAATATATATGGACGAAACATGCATCCTGGATCCAACTGCTGACCACTCTTCAGCTTTGCTTGCAACGCTTATAAATTAATGCAATATCGCTGTCAATACACACAGTATGTATAAATGCTAATTAGAAACTGATCAATTACAGTTCTAAACATCAATGGGACTATTTAAGTAAACAACAATAGCAGGTGAATTTAAACATCACCCTATAGCATGAGCAAGTGTCTATTAGAACTCAGTAATTAAGTGGATAGTCAGTCAGTCAGTCAGTTATAACGTAGAACTTCATACGTACGTACATCAATTCGATTCGCCATACCACATTAGCACAGAGACGCAGTTGTCGATTCAAATCCCATAGTAATAGAAGTAATAAGAGTATAGGCATTAATGAAAAAGATTAAGGTTTGAAGATGTTATTCAAGGAGTATAATCCAGTGAAATAAATTTGGAAAGAGAAAAGGATAGAGAAATGAAGAATTCAATTGACTTATTATCTCAACTATGTATTCTTAATTACTAATCCATAAGGTTTAAATTGTGAACATCATATCAAATCAAGTTATAATCGGTATTATGTTTAAATACTGTTTGCTTTGTCCTATTTTACATTACAGAATTCAGTGTCATCACTTCAACTGGAACTTTGTACAATACAGATGAAAAGACAATGTAATTCATTATCTGCATTATTCAATAATGAAATATTCATCTGATAGGACAAAAGAACATTTTTATATGTACAGTACTTTTGTAAATATTACTGAAATTAGTAACCATTAGTAGTATGTGCTTTTCAAGTAAATATTACCATGATCTGCAGATCATTTTTGAAAGACTTAATTACTTGCTTACGCCTGTTAAATCCAAATGGAGCATTTTCCAACACACTCTGTCCTGAACCGTCCTTTCTAGTTCTATCCAGTTATTGTTCATTTCTTCTCTTATCTGTATCCATTTCTCGGCGAAATATGTTCTTTGGTCTTGCTCTTCTCCTTTGGCCTGTAGATAGCGTCGAGTCTCGTTTGACTATGATTACCACTACAATAAGATTATGCACTCGAAAATGACTTGGTTACTCCGACAACTCGCAAACCAGAAGACTGTAACTGGTCCAGATAGAGTATATTTATTGGCGAACTCGTGGTATCGAAAGAATACCGAGCAGAGAGTAACAAAGTTCGAACTCAACAAGACGGACTACCGAATGAAAAGTGATTTTGATACAGTTAAACAACAACGAGTACAATAAAACAATCACTCGTACAATTGGTCATAATAATAATTGTTTTCATTATTCCAATCTTGTTTTCGTTGAGAAATGCGGGTCAATACAGGTCTTCAGGATTCCATGTGAGGGCTTGTGATGCAGTATGGTGCTTTTCTCAATATGTGTCCTATCCACTTCCAGCACTTCCTGATTTTTTCCTCGGCTGAAATTTGGTTTGTTCTCTTCCACTGTAGCTTGTTGCTGATAGTGTCTGGCCGACGTATCCGACAACTGTTGATAAACACCTGTATTTTCTGGATGATGGCTTTCGTAGTTCTCCACGTTTACGCTCCATACAGTAGAACTGTCCTTAAATTTGTATTGAAAAGATTCTTCATATTTTAGACTGAAAGTGAATAGACATTCTATCCTACTGATAAAACGATATTCAGTAATCTATTCAAAGTACCAATATCAATGACCATTTGATTCTTTCCCTTTCTCGGTCATTGAAACTCAAGATGAAAATCATTCTGAGTATTTGTTTTGAATGATTTGAAAATGTTCCGAAAATTGTTTTAAAGGATGAGAAATGAGACTGTAATGGGTCAAGTTTCAATATATCAGGATTCATGCAGAATAGTTCCTGTAATCAGATTCCTCATTTTCATATAAGACTTCATCTTCATCTGACTTTCAGTATTTTACCTTGTATGTGATATGGATTATTTTAAATATCAGGGGTTACACTGAAAAGAGATTGTAAAAGAATCGATTATTTTTAGATTGTTTCCCTTCAAAATGTGACATAGTTTCCACTTGTTCTATTTACTATACTCTTTGTTATGTATGATCATTAGTCTACTACTGAACTATTAATTACCGCCTTTATAACAGCTTTCTACATGTACAAACTACTTCTACACGTCGATTCGAACAATAGAGAAAGGGAGATGATTATGTGTAAGAGCATTACTCCAACATGACTTAATAAACAGGACATCGATGATATCTACAAATTAGGGTATGACTATGGACTTCTTGAACCTTCTGGAAACATGCTAACTATAATAATAGTTTACGTTATTATCCATCCGTAAACGTAACTCTTGATTCTTCATTTTCTAGGTTTTTGTCAGAAGCGCTGATTGGATTCATTTCCTGTAGTTTTAGGGACATTTAGAGACTTTGACCAAAAATATTTTTGAACTTCCTAACGGACAGTACACCATTATTAGAATTGAGTTTTGTGGAGATTTTAATAATTTTACATAGTTGAAAGCAGAAGTCAATTGAAGCTAGACCACCATGCACTGGACGGCCGTTTCGTTCTATCGTGGGATTCACCAGTACGCATCCATGATTCTGCCTCGTGAGATTCGAACCCAGGATCTATCACCAGTGACTGACTTCATGAGGTATTTCACGCGACCACTAAATCCAGGAGGACAATTACAACAAATATATATGAGAGAAATTGAGTCAATTCACCTTCTAGTTGTTTGGAACATGTTATAATTTCTCTTACTAAGACTCAGCTATTCTTATTGCTTAGTATTCTTGGACATCAATTTACTCGATAAGTCCCCATATCAGGAAATGTTATTCTGAAAAAAACATATATTTCACTGAAAATCAATACTTTCAGTGTTTGTAACTTGATAAAGATCGAAAAAAAAACAGAAGGGTAAAGAGACGAATATAAGTTCACTACATGTATCTTAGATGCTGGTTAATTACTACAGACTCGTTCTCCATCTGTGTTCCATGTTATTTTTCTTGATAACCTAATATTTTGGATAAGTTCGAACGAGTCACTTGTTGCCATAAGGTAGCATAGTAAGTAAGAAATGCAAACAAGACAATGCTTTTGTGAGTAATTGAATGATTCATTTAATCAAAGTCACGGAGTACAAATCATCGTCCGCATCAGTGAGAATATACATATGTTTGTCTATGAGTTGTGTGTTCTTTTCTGAGATTCAGTATGGATAAAAAGAAACGATATGTATTTGTAAACTTCGTCTAGGTGATGACGGACTGCAGCTCATATGAAGCAAAGCATCGTTTCTTTGACAAGTAACTTGTCCTGGGCTTTTGAACTTTTTTGGAGTATCCTCGTAAATTTTCTGTTTTGAAGGACAAGAAAAATGAGGGAATATCAGGTGTAAATTATCACTAAGCAATTTGAAAACTGTAATCAAGTCGCCTATAGTTCTTCGATATGACAACGGAATAGGTTTAGCCTGGCCAGTAGAAGATAATACGGGAGCTTCGCTATTTCGGTAATCAGCTTGTTCGCTGTTCTGTGAACCTTTCTCAAAACATCACTGTCTTTTTTAAACAGGGGCTAGCCGCTTGTATCCAGTACTGAAGTTTGAGACGCACGATTACTGCATACAAAGTCAAAAATGTTTTGATGTCAACATGATTAAAGGCCCTACTTATTGATCATAAAGTTCTATAACCTTTAGGGGGCTTTTGAACGGTGGTGTGCAGTAGTCTTTAAGTCTTAGCTAATGATGACTCCTAAGTCAGTGTATGTCTGAACACCAGGTAGCTGAACGTTATTCATCGTGTATTTATCCGTACCTTGATGACGGATATTCATCACAATACTTTGGGAAGTATTTATCTGCAACTGCCAGATTTGAGACCATTCAGATGATTTCTCTAGGTCGTTTTGGAGTTCTAAGCTATCACCCTTACTTTGTATCGCTCTCCATATATTAACATCGTCAGCATATAGCAAGGCAGGAGACGAGGAAGGTCATTTACATACACGAGGAATAATACTGGTCCCAAAACTGTACCCTGGGCAACTCCACTAAACACAGTTTCCCAGGTAGATAACTTTGTTTTCACCCATACTCTTTGTTGGCACCTAATAGGAACAATAACAGGAAGGATTCGTATGCATATAGCAAACAATTGACTTCGAATGTAGCACATAACAATACCGTCATGCACTATCCCATCGATCTTGGCAGATCAGGCAACCTGAAGGTCACGAGAACACCGTCAAGGTTTACGACAGAGTAGGTACCCCAGTCAAGAAAATAATAATCGTTGAAGCTTAAAACAAATACTTCAAAGCCAGCGTACATGCAGTCCATCACGAAGCCAGATGCATGCTTCATTATGTATTTTCGGATGATGTTAGTTATCCTTCCGTAGGTTCACCTACGGAAACCCTTGTTACGACTTTTAATTCCTCTAAATATTCAAATTAAGTCATCTTCTTAGCATCAGTCTAGCGGCAAAGCCACTACAACGACGCTAATCCAACGACCTCACTAAACCATTCAATCGGTAGTAGTGACGGGCGGTGTGTACAAAGGGCAGGGACGTGATCAGCGCAAGCTTATGACTTGCACTCACCAGGAATTCCTCGTTCACGGGGAATAATTGCAAGCCTCGATCTCAGTCACGATGGTGCTGAAACAGTTTGCCCAACCCTTTCATGCCAGGTTTCCAGACTCGCTGGCACCGTCATTGTAGCGCACGTGTGGCCCCGGACATCTAAGGGCATCACAGACTTGTTATTGCTCAATTTCGTGCGATATAAGTGTGCCGCTTGTCCTTCTAAAAAGTAAAAACTGTCACCGCACCAGGCGGATCAAGACCACACCACTCCATAATGAAGCGATAGAAGCCGCACCCAAAATGAGGATAGAGAAACAGTCTCCTATTTAACAGGATAAAGTCTCGTTCGTTATCAGAATTAACCAGAATAATCACTCCACCAACTTAGAACGGTCACGCATCACCACCCACCGAATTGAATGCTTTGATTGAATAATAATCAAGCACGTTTGTATACGTAGATTATACTCGAACTCAGTACCTTGCACTTCAAACGCTATCATGTTATCCACTCGGACGAAACGCGCCTCCTGTATTCCACTGCTAGCCACTATCCATCTTTGCTTACCATGTTTGTGAATTAAGGCTATATTGAGGCAATACGAACAGTATGCACATATGCCGATTGGAGACTGACCAGTTGCAGTCCTAATATATCGATGGGAAAATTAAAAAAAAACTATACGAAATAGAGTTTACCATTTACTTCTGTTTATCATTAATACACATGATAAAAAGAAAATGTGACTAGTGTAGCAACTGATCTCATTTTTAAGCCTACATAACTTATTCTAGCTTTTGGACAAACCAATTCATTCATTCATCTTGAGTTACATTTTTACCTTGGTAATTACTTACTTATCAACTTTGACTGTTTCTATATGAGTGTATGTGTGTGTACACTTCTTATCCTAATTATCACATGTCTATAACTTATTTTTATCTGGCTATAAATATTGATTAACGCTTGAGTTGACTCACATGCCTTCTGCATAGCACGTCATTTCGCTTTGCTCTCTTCCCTTCATTTTCTTCGTTCCGTTCCTCTGATTATCTGTTCTGATCAACTTACTTAAGGATTAATTGAATCGCTGTTCATAGCTAGAATTTGTCAAAATATTCTTTCCTATGGATAATTTGGAATGCTGTCAGTGGTCGGTTATGAGGTGATGAAATCTTAACAGTAATCGACATGTATCTCTGTAGAGATATAATCCTACTATATTAATAAGTAAGTAAAGAATTTGAATACAGTGATCATTAAAAACTGTTACTGGTCCTATCATTATCTGCTCCTTTGAAAGCTTTCACCTCTGAAAAAATTGGTCAATGTAAGGACTGAAAATATGCAAACTAGGGTACCTTCTTCTCAAGTAAGTCTAATGAATACCGTAAACACATTTTATTACCTTGTAGATGGCGTCGAGTATCGATTGACTATGATCACCATTACATTGAGATTACGCGTCCAAAAACAACTTTCTTCATTCGTTAGCTCATAAATCAGAAGACTGTAACTGGTCCACATAGAGTATATTTATTGGCGATCTCGTGGTATCGAAAGGATACCGAGACGTGCCAACGATTACTGGCAATAAGGGCAGAGCGTAAGAAAGTCCGAACGGACAAGGTGAACGACCGAACGAACAGTGATTTTGATACGGTTAAACAACAGCGAGTACAGTAAAACAATCACTGGTACAATTGGTTATAATAATAAGTGTTTCCATTATAACAATCGCGTTCTCGTCGAAAAAAGCAGGTCACTACAACTTCTCGTTTAGATTTCGTTCTACCTCTAAAGACATATAGGACTACTAAACCTAAAGGATTATTTATACGAGTTAGATATAGTAATAAATTAAGACGTTTGTGAAAAAGTCACTTTAAGACGAATGGTACCACGTGAACTCCACGAATGAGCATAGTTTCTAAACAGAATAAGGAAACTCATATGACAAAAGCCACCAATGAGGAGTTGAAAGTACCGACTATTAGATCAAAAGTATGTGAATTTATTTCTCTTCCCAGTAAACTCCGCAGAGCATTTCAAAGCGCACATATCCCTTGCATTCTCTATAATGGTTCATTTATAAATGATTAAAACGACCACAAATCTCTGTAATATCTTTTCGACTAAGGAGTCCCACAATAGGACAAAACGGCTGTCCAGTGCTTCCAGGTTTTCCTTGGTGGTTTAGCTTCAATTGACTCATGCTTTCAACTATAATAATAAACCACCAAATTAATTTGGTTCCGAAGTGATGTATATGACTGGTAAAACTATAAATTGTCCATCTTACACTTATCTCATAATTTATGAAGGCATAACTTCCTTTAAGGTCTTTGAAGAGTCATGAAAAAAGATGGGACTGCATCCATATACTTCAAATATGGTTGGTCTGAAATTATATTACTTCTTCTAAAAGTGCTTACTCTTTCAATCTCTCTCTAGAAACAAGAACTTACCCTTATCGTTGGAAAACTACTTAGATTATACCGCGGTGACAATCTGAAGACCGAAATACACAATTATCATCCCATAAATATTATCCCAATTATCTCTGAAATAAGGGAGAAAATTGTTGGTGATGAACTTTCTAATGTCTTTATAACGGGAAAACTTGTCATCAAGATGGCGCAACATGTCTTCTTCAAAGCTAGATCTTTTATGATCTGCTATTTTAACTTCTATGAAGTTTTTGTTCATAACAGCCTAGGACTTCTAATTCGAGTGGTAGACTTTGGTACTGATAAAGCTTTCTATGTGTTGAGCATCACCTGCTTATATGCAAATTCATAACGTAGTGAATTACAGACCCCCAGTTTTGTAGGTTTAACTCTTTTCTCAGTGACTGACACTAGATGATAAGTATAAATTCTAGCTTCAATTGACTCATGATCTCAACTCTATAAATTCTTCCCTTATCAATCCTGTCCTGGTCACAAGTGGAATAATACAAGGTAGTATCTTAGAGCCTTTGCTTTTTATAGCTTATACAAACAATATCTGTAGTTGCTTTAGCACAGGAAAGCAGATGATCTAGATGAAGTGTCTCTATTTTTACATTATTAATTAAATCATACACAAAACGTCCTGGATCTGAAAATGGTAACCCATTGATGCTCAAAATTGAAGTTAAACGTCTAGACTGCTAAATGTGAATGGATTTGTTTTGGTAATTCTTTTTCTGACCCAGACATCATATGGCGTTATCTAAGCTTTATTTAACAATAGACCTAGGACTCAGGTATTCCCACAACAAGACCCTCTCAGAACAGGTCATAGGACAAACTTCGAAGTTTCAACGACTTCTGAGCTCCAGACTATGTAAACACCATAACAATAATTCACTTATCCAATGCACAAATTATGTGTACAATCACATCCGAACATCTGCCTAAGTGCCCTTCATTTTGGCTTTGTTTCTCTACTTGAGCATTGAAATCATCTGCCACTACTACTACATCACAGCGTTTAGCGTTTATGAAGCTGGCTTGTTTTTCATAAAACCCATCTTTAACTTCGTTCGAGCTGCAATTAGTGGGAGCATAGACAGAAACAACCAAAATGCAACTGTGTGTTACTATCTTCTCCAGTTCCTACTGTCCTGATTAGCCTGACAGTGCACGGACGACTGTCTATTACAATCCAAGTTGACAGAGCCGATTCTGCTTTCAATGTTAATGCTATACCTGCTCCAGCGAGGTCACGGGAAGTGGCAGTGAGAACCCCAGATCCTCGAACAGTAAATCGTACCGGTTCTTTATATTGACAAGGTGGGGTCAAATGAATGACTGTACTTGGATCTTGCATGTGCGTCTCGGGGACTCAGCATACGTCAATCGTAAATGATTCTTGAGTCCTAGCTACGGAGGCCCGTTTTCTCATCAAACACGTAGTTTAAGGAGACCCGGAACAACATTACGTAAGATCGAATCATTAGCATTGGTAGTGCGTTGCGATAAAGATAAATGAGAAGCATTAGTCGTGGGGATAAAAGAATTATTAAGAGGTGATGAGGGAAGGATTCAATGGTGAACAAAATGATCTCAGTTGCTGATAATTGTGTGAGAGCGAATGTCATGTTCCGGTTGCCGACATCGTGGAAGGTTATTTCTTGTTGAGGAACCTGAAAACAAAGCTGAATTAGTAATGGTCATAGCCAACTGGTGGCGCGATAACAATAGTGAATGGTAACTTTGGGATCCATTTATAGATCAATATTATGCATATAATTTTTATCGTATATTTGCTAAATGATTAAACTACTCATATTCATGTTCCTTTCATTGTGACCCTTGGACTATTATTATACGATTTGCCATTCCTGAGTTATCCCTGGTTTATTAATTGCTGCCTCCCGCATTTACAGCCACATGTGGTTGAATCTAGTACAAATGTTATTTTCTATTTTATTGGTACGATGTGGTCAGTCTGTTTGGTATATAAACTCAGTAAGTTTGAACTACAATGATTCATACCACAGAGGCTGTTATTGGTGTTCTAGACTTAACTGGCTGGGCTAGGCAGAAGGCAGGATCGATACGTACTCTAGACTGCTCCTACGATTTCCGTATCACTGTTCCAATCGATAATTCGCTGCTCTCTGACTGGCGGTTTTATCACGTCATACATTAACTGGGCATCCTCTCGGCCATAAGATCTAGCACGTAACCACAAAGAGGAAAGGATGATGGCATGAACACGGTAGCACATAGCCTTTTCATGGAGAGTTTTTGATGTATTGGCTCCTCACTTCAAAAGTCCTAGCCGTCGGAGATAGAAATCTATGGGGTAATGTGTGGTGTGAAATTTGTATGGTCGATCTTTTCTAACCCCTTTCTTTCGTTGTGAAAACGCAGAGTCGCTACAGATGTTGTTTGTACGATGGAAATACCTTACCGCTATCACATCCTTTTCTCATTAAGCAATACAATTTTGCCACCGAATCTTAAGTTGCCGCCTTTGGTCTTACCGTTCTCCGATCAAGCTACTTGACATGGTATGACCTAAAGAAGCATGTGTTCAACGTTTATTCTGAGATCAGGAAACCCAGTTCTATTCAGACAAAATGGGACATAAATGTTTAGTGTACACATTTTTCAAGCAATCTTTAAAACTCTATCCTAAATTTAACTGATCAAAGAATACCTTTATTTACAATTGTTGGAAATCAACAAACCATCAATTCAATGATCAAATCACTGATGCATGGAATGTCATTAAGAAGATGAAAGAAATCAAAATGATCATTCTAAATGTATATCTTCAATGAGCTAGTTTTTATCTAGTTACAGTATGTTGAGAAGATCAGTTTTTCATATTATTACGACGTCGTATTCTGATTATCCAAACTAAAAATACGGTGCTTGAAATAAAAATCAAGATTATGAATGGCATTAGAAGACGAATGCATAGACGAATACTAACATCATTAATAAATGTGATTGAATACATTTGCAATATCTCACGAGATAGTAGAAGGTGTTTAGATGTGATTGGAATGTCTTCAGTAAATTTTGTGATCATGTTAGTAGTTTGATGATCGTTTGTAGAAGGTTCGTTAGTTTTGTTTAACTCATCGGTGTTAATTAAGACTTGTGAAGTTGTCATATTTTCAGTAGTGTCTGATTCCACTGTAACCATATCTGAAGTCAATGTTATAAAGTTTATGGTTTCATCACTATGTTTAACGGTTGGTTCTTCTGTTGCAATGTGTTTGACCATTCTGTCAGTTGCACTTGAACAAATTCCTATTTGCTAAACCAAAACAAAGATACTTATAATCTGATATTAAGACAATACTGGCATTTGTAAATTGAAGATATGATGAATAGATTTTAATTTAATGTCAGTGTCAAGCAGTGACATACCTTTTAAACCTCATACACTTTAAGCGATAGTATCGGTGGCGATAATGGTTCTTTAAAAATGTAAATCTTGTAACAGTAGTAGTGTACGGAGGAAAGCTGACAGACACATTACAAGTGAGGATCGAAGTCACACAACACACAATTAAGTACATGTATTTATAAACAATTGTCTACTGAACGTCCATTGTGGATCGGATACCATTAGCAACAACCTACTTTCGGAGAGAATAGCTAATAGGAAATTAGGAAAAGTATCTGAAATTATACTACTGATCACTCTGCAAACTGATCGATCGAACTAGGTCGAGAATAATGACAAAATGTTCAATCAGTTTTTCAGAAAATCATTTGATAGCCGAAAACTTACTATCTAACGCCTGTTACACTCGATGGAGCATAGGCCGCCGACCAGCATTCTACAACCCACTATGTCCTAGGCCTACCTTTTTAGTTCTATCCAACTTTTGTTCATTCCTCTCATATCTGTCTCCATTTCTCGTAGTAATGTGTTCGTGGGTCTTCCTCTCTTCCTTTTGGCCTTCAGGATTCCATGTGAGGACTTGTCTTGTGACGCAGTTGGATGACGTCCTTAATGCGCGTCCTATCCACTTCCAGCCCTTCTTCCTGATTTCTTCCCCTGAATAGCTTAGTGTTAATGTTCATTATGGTGACATTAAGTGACGATTTCTAGAATCGTAAAGAGAATACTGGTTGCCTTAGTATAAGCGTTATCTTTTACTTTCTAGTTCTTTAATCGTATTTGATCATCAAATTTAAACTCATTTCGCAGAACATGTGAAACATATTTTTGACAGATTTGAGAATACTTCTAAGAAGATTGATCTTTGAAGTATATACAAGAGGTTTAAGATTAGACTGTTCAAACGAATCATGTTCTCATCTGACAATTATCCATGATGATGGACAACAGAATCCACGGTAAAGTAACATGTATTAGAACGAATAAACTCAGCAACACAGTAGTAGTTAGATTCATAAATATGTTTGATGGTTGTTTATTGGACGAGTATATTACAGCTTAATGGCACGGAATGTTATTAAGTAAAGGCAGTATATAGTAGATGAAAGAACGTAACAGAAGTCATATATATTCATTGAGAATAAATTCAAGCTAGACCAAGATCGAAAACCTGGAAGCATTGGACGGACGTTTCGTCCTATTGTCGGACTCCTCAACAGTGCGCATCCACAATCCCAAACTCGCGAGATTCCAACCCAGGACCTACCAGACTCGCGCCAGGGCACTTAACCGATAGACCACTCAGCCGGTCGGCATCCAAAAGTGTTGATTTCTAACTTCAAGCAATCCACGATTTTTGAACAACCGTTCACCAATTGTCTTCAGTGAGTCGATATCTGTACAACAGACTTGGCTGAACTCCACTGGTCACTGCTTCCCACTAGAACTCAAGGAAACATTCCTTACATTCAGTCACTAGTGAGCATATGATCGTGGATGCAAACTGCTGAGGAGTCCCATAACATGACGAAACGGCCGTTTAGTGCTTCGAGGTTTTCCATGGTGGTCTAGCTTCAATGGACTCATGATTTCAAATATGAAAAAAACTGAAATATCCACAAAAAACCCTTCTGACCTATAGATTAAATTTACCTGGATAGCACAATCTTTTCCAAGCAATGTTTCCATATCAATATCACGAAAGTGTCTGCACTTGTTGAATTTCGGACACCAATGACATTTTCTTCCAGATGTATACTCCTTAGTACAGTCTTCACAAAATTTGTATTCCATACAATCTTCAATGAAAACGTAAAGAGATATCTGTAACTGTGCACATATTCAACAATTAGCAATTTCATGAATGAAAGAGATATGTCACAATGATACTGGATGAAGTCGTTGGAAAATGGATAAGGCGTCACACTGTAACTGTCAAATAATTCATCCCATGTTGTGAGATATCAACTCACTGAAGACATTGGTGAATGTTTGCTCAATATCGTGGATTGGTTGAAGTTAGACATTGACACCGTTGTATGTAGGCTCAGTGGTCTATTGGTTAAGTGCGCGCGCGCGAGACTGATAGGTTCTCTGTTCTAATCGCTTGAGACAGGATCGTGGATGCGCACTACTAAGGAAACCCACAATAAAACAAAGGGACCGTCCAGGTTTCCCATGGTATTTCCATGGCTTCAATTGACTCATGATATCAACTATATAAAGTTACTAAAATCTTCAAAAAGAACCCTTCTGATAATAATCACATATTACAGACAACACATAGGTCCCACTAACTGACTTAAATGTCAGTTATGGTTATTTTGTCCAGTTTTATATTTAAATGATAGTTGGATGACATGGTCATATTCCTCTAAAATCATCGTATCGCCAACAAAAATGAGAAAAAATGAAGGCGAAATCAGTTAACTAACGACAAGATATGCTTAGAGTTACTCAATAAGTCTGTGTTAATAACATTTTAGTCTCATATATTCCAATACCTAACCATGTATTATAGTTTAATATTTTTTTCAAAACACAGGAACTCTGTTTGGTATTTTGTTTTCAAGAGGGACTTCAATGGCACCCTAATTCGATTCTTGGTTTTTACACATTCAAATTTGTTAAGAGAGGTTATCAGGATGTATGACATGCGAAGCGCGGGAGTTATCTTTAAAAATGTCTACTACAAGCCCGGTAACAGGTATCGAAAAGTACCCAAGTTGTACATAAACGTAATCAACCAGATCACACAAGATGATTGACCTATCGTTATATTAAGGCTTATCAATCAACATGCTTGACAACATGACTGATCTTCAAGGATGTCTGTCAGTCGTAGAAAACTGTTAATTTCAGACATCGTCGTACACTGAAATTTATCTGAACAGTACACAATCAGAGGAGACGGATATTATTCTGTCTGAGATCTGATCAACAAATAATCATAATTCTGTACACCACAAAATGCTTGTTCATTTAACACTATGAAACAATGAAAGTGATGAGTAACAAATCAAAGATATGTGTAATGATCCAATAAAATAACTTTCTTACGCACTAGAAATAGGAGTAAACTCAACCAACAACCCGGATTCCATCGGATATGAAGAAAGTATTTCTTTTTTCCCATAATCATTATCTACAAGAAGAAAAAAACAGTTGAATGATAACCCAATATCGGGTGAATGAGTTACCTTTTACAAACAGATAGAAATGGATTCATTGGGTAAAATGATCAACAATATGTTGGGTTTCTCAAACTGTTATTTACAAACAACTCCGCCTGTAGCTCATTTAGAGTTACTACCGATCCCAAGCCTGCGTAAAGGAGGAGGGTTGGGCATCGGGTTAGCGACCTTATCCCGTAGAAAAGCTAACTCGCTAAAAAACGCTAACCGGAAAAAATGATTCAAACAATATACATTAGAATGAATTCACTTGTGTCAGTTTACTGATTTCAGTAGTATATTTGAAAACATTTCAAATACCAAGCTCCAATGTTGAGAAAATGTGTCTATACAAATGTCCATTATAAGACACATAAGTTGGGTTTTTGTTAAGTGCATTGATTTGGAAACATTGTGATTCTCATGCCATCTGAACGATGATGACAAACCGCTGTTGTCAAGTAAACGGTAGTTTACAGTCAAGTGATGGTGACGAATTCAACAAAACCTCCATAAAACCACCTGAATGAAATATTGTAGTGACCTTCTTTTCTCGACGAGAACGTAATCAGTATAATGGAAACAATTATTATTATGACCAATCGTACTAGTGATTTTCGACTGTACTCATTTTGTTTAACTGAATCAAAATCATTTTTTCGTTCGGTCACCCACCTTGTCCGTTCGAACTTTCTTACGCTCTGCCCTTATTGCCTGTATTCTTTGGCACGTCTTGATACTCTTCTGATAACACGAGATCGCCAATAAATATACTCTATCTGGACCAGTTACAGTCTTCTGGTTTGCGAGTTATCAAAGGAACCAAGTCGTTTTCGGGAGCATAATATTAATGTAGTGGTGATCATAGTCAACCGAGACTTGACGCCATCTACAATATAATCTACAAAGATACGATTTGGTTTATGCTTTGCATGTGTTACAGAATGACGACGAGTGCTGTGCAATGGTGTATTTTCATTCATTTAAACATGGTCACATTGTTGTTGTTTCGCAATCTTTTGTACATCCATCTCGTTGTCGAAGATCATCAGTTGTCTTCGACCTTCACTGATTGCTCAAATTGATATCTCATCATTTTTATAGTGAAAGGTTCAATTAAATGTAGAACAAAATAAGAAATGATTATCACAATTTGATTGGATTACCTTCATTAGGTGATTCATGAACTAACTTAATAGATGAATTTCTTCCGATCTCATTGGATATCTGGAAAGTAATGTTTAATACAAGTATGATATTTAGTATTTAAACGACCTAGAATACATCAAACAGATGAATACCATTCTTTAACTATTCTTATTACAATTTATTCAACTAACTACAGAACTCTTGTTTCTCGTTTAGTAACATTGTAGTGTGGTCTACTTATATCCATATAAGTAGTAAATGGCGATGGTCCGATATAGAATGTATTTTGGTAGAAAATCGACAAGGAACGAACAGTAATGAAACGCGATCGATATGAAAATGAATAAACAGTGAAATCAGAGAAGACTGACCGATATTTGCAGAAAGAACAGTGAAGATTGAGACAATTGATCGTTTTTTTTTTCAAATTAACTGTTGACTGTATGGTTATCACAATTTAGTGAGATAGTCTGTAATGAGTGTCTAATTACATTCGTTTGTCCCTAATCGTATTTTGTTTACTATAACCGGATCAAATGTCTAGACTACTTGTGTTTTCTAACACTAATCACTGATCAATTAGGATGGTATCATAAAGGTAATGCTCATATTTTCATCATACCATACCTTTTGGAACAATGGATGTCGATAACATTTGGAATTCATTCATTCATTGAAGGAAGTTATCATAGAAACGAAACTGATGTACAAAACGTTTGTCGGTGAAAATGTAAGTTAACTGGTCACTATAGAATTTGGCAATCACTTCATACATACATAGATTAATATAACGAGTAAATATCGATAATAGTGATAATGTAGCACACATATGTAGTACAAATTGGAATGTTTTTTTAATGAAGGTCAACTGATATGAATGGTGTACGACATACCTTCTCATAGTAAATAGATATGTTTCCATTAGAGTAAAAAATACAGACAATCTGAACTGTAAAATTGAGAATATGGAAATGATGATTTTCATTAATTAAAAGAAAGTATATCGATATATTTGTGCGATACTTTAAAAAAAAGATGATTTGCTGTACACTCTTCTCAAGGTAAATGCTCTGGTACAGCCGAGAGTGGGGAGAGAGTTCGCTGTCCCTCTCAAAATGATCTCACATGGCCACGCGTATAAAGCCTCTGTCAGGGAAGTCCTATTCGCTGACTTCTCGTGGAGGACCGGGGTGTTGTTTTCGAAATTGAGAGGACGAAAAGCGAATGTCCGGCGATTTAACTGAGTTGGTGGACATGGAAAGTCCTCCTAGGGTAGCTTGGAAACCCTGATTCCAAACCAATGGAGCACATGGGCTCCAATATCGTGGTTGAACAAAGGGCGTATGAACCAATCGTTGGTCACCGGCTACCATGTGACTGCATCTTCTTACGATGTTCCACTGCCTTGTGGATCAGATCTATAGGTCAAATATTCTGTCAAAATACACTTCTTATTAACATCGTGTTTGAATAATAATTTTGTAGGTAACTCATATTATGCAAATCAATACAATCATTCTAAATCTAAATCTAATCACATTCAAACTTACTTCAATTTGTACTGTTTTCGTAAGTTATTGTAAAATGTATCGTTTATATTTGTGATATTCCTACTCTACTGCGAATGCTTACTAACTTACTTACGTCCGTTACTCACAATCGAGCATAGGCCGCCGACCAGCATTCTCCAACACACTCTGTCCTGGGTCTTCCTTCCTAGTTCTATCCAGTTCTTGTTCATTCTTCTCATATCTGTCTCTATTTTTCGGCGTAATGTGTTCTTTGGTCTTCCTCTTCTCCTTTGGCCTTCAGGATTCCATGTGATGGCTTGTCTTGTGGAGTAGTTGGGTGATTTACTCAATGTGTGTCCTATCCATTTCCAGAGCTTCTTCCTGATTTCTTCCCCAACTGGAATCTGGTTTGTTGTCTCCCATAGTAACTTGTTGCTGATAGTGTCTAGCCATCGGATCCGAAGTATCTTGCGTAGACAGCTGTTAATAAACACTTGTATCTTCTAGATAATGGCTTTCGTAGTTCTCCATGTCTCCGCCCCATACAGTAGAACTGTCTTGACATTTGTATTGAAAATTCTAACCTTGGTGTTTGTTGTTAATTGTTTTGAGTTCCAGATGTTCTTCAATTGTAAATATGCTGCTCTTGCTTTGCCGATCCTCGCCATCACATCTGCATCTGATGCTGCACAGAAATGTAAGGGTTTTCGCATCCTTCCAAGCTTCTACTTCAAGTGTAATTCGATTAGTGCGTGCCGTGTTCTATCGGAGAATTTCGCTTTTCCCTTTGTTTATATTGAAACCTACTGCTGCTGAGGCTACTGCTGCCACACTGGTTGTCTTCTACTGCATTAGTGGTTGCGTGTGTGATAGAAGAGCTGGATCGTGGATTTGCACTGTCACTGAGCAGTCCCATGATAGGACGAAACGGCCGTCCAGTGCTTTAGGTTTTCCATAGTGGTCTAGCTTCAATTGACTCATGATTTCAACTCCATAAAATTACTACATACCATCATCATTGATTTGGTATTCATTTGAATTTCGTTCATTCAAACGAACCCATTTAATTGCAATAAATTCATCTGGAATACAAAAAAGAGAAAACAATCTTGTCTATTTTACTTTGAAGTGTATGTATGTATATGAACATACAATGTCAATCAATCCTCTTCAATTTCATTGTTCTTTCATTTCCATACTTATCAATCAGTGTTCTTATTCTCTTTTCTTTTTTAATCTTTCATAACCTTCCACCTCTAGGCATTCCACTTTTGATTGATGATGGAAAAACTACTTATATCTGTCGACATTAGTAGTATACATTACAGAATATCATAATAAATAACAATCCATTTGAATGATATAATGATAATAAGAAGATTTATTTCATGTACATAATAGAAAATGTTATTCGAACACGAATGGGGTATTATAATTAACTCCTATTATGATTTAGTTGTCCCGACCGTTGCTGCTACCTTGACGTTGTGGTCTGGCTTGCTTATCGTGATAAACCAATCGTTCCTCAAGGTACTACCATGCCAGACAGGTCGGTTGAATAGCGGTAAGACTAAATGCAGCAAATCCAAGGTCCATAGAAGATGTCGTGCTGCTGACTGTACAGAGGTGTGACGGCAGTTAGGTGTTTTCTTCAGACAACCATCATGACAGTGATGCTGCCTTCCCACAAGGAGGGGTGTGGTTATAAAATGTTGACCCTAAAAATGTACATCACGCCTTATCCCACGGATATCCGTCTCCGGCGGTAAGGTCCCAACAAGTAAAGAGCTAACGCAAAAATTACACGCAAAAAGGTCGTTGTGACCGGACTCAAGCAGTTGTCCCTAGAGCACTGTGGTCACGCTCTCAGGTCATTAACACCACTTCTAACCTGAGTTCCTTTTCAGGCACATCTAGAAGAACCCTTCCACTGTGTGGGCAGCAGGGAAGTGATAACCTCCCTCATACCTCCAACAGCACTCAAGATCACTGTATGATACGGTTGTCTAGAATACCTATAATCAGCTCACCATTCACTATTTCCAAGATGGATTTCCGAATTGCTAGTAAGAAATTGTGACTGATGAATTTTTATCATATCACAAGTGGGTCTTTTACCTACTTTCCTATTCTAGTACACTTTTATTAAAGTTAGAAATGTGTATTGTTGAACTTCACCTCAATCGATAAATCATACAACCCTCATTTTCTAGAATCAAAGTTCCTGGATTCGATCATTGGTTGGTTATGGGTGAGATATACTGAAGAGCCCCAAAATAAGAGCGATACCTTTTTCCTACACTTCATGATTTGTAAGGCGGTTTTCCAGCTCACCTAAGTTCCTTAAGAAAGCTCTCATCAAATAACAGTACATATTACTTATCCAGACTACTTAATTTATAACGTTCTCAAACAAAATATTAGATAATGTAAGAAAATGGGAAATCTCACTAGAATCTTTTCTTTGTACTTCATTGTATCCGTCTTCTCCATCGAAAACTTGGATTATATTTCCGGAATCTGGTTTCTCAGTTTCAGGGCCGATCCCTAAAACACCTTAAATAATAAAGCGACAAATTAAATTATTCTTAACTGTTGATAATTTACAAAAGACAGCATTTAAACAGTTAAAAGTGATATCACTAAACTGTGAATGTGATTTAATGTGCTTAAACTGATGACATGTGTTTATATGAAGTAGATAGTCGAGTAGTTTGTAGTACATCTGAACAATATGTCCTTCAATTACAAATTTGAGATGGTGAAGAAGTTTTGTAGCTCAGGTGAATGATTTTTGTAGAGTTTTATTGTCTGAGCTGGATAATTTGGTCATCTAGCTTCCATCGTTCTTCTGAACGACGTCATCAGCACAAACTTCAGGTAGAAGTGAAGTGTTTGAATTTCTCCACATGTGGTTCACAGCTTGTCCTATGCACCTCGATACAATCAAAACAAAAAAATAAACAATGACATAATAAAGGTCAACAAGAACCAATCAACATCGAGGTGCACAAGACAATGTGTGTAACACATGTAGAGACATTCAAACACTTCACTTATACCCGAAGTTTGTGCTGATGATGTTGTTCAGAAGGACGATGAAGGCTTCACGACCAAACTATCGAGCTCACAGAACAAAACTCTACCAAAATTACAAATTTAATTGATGTTGTAGCGAACTATTTTCAGAACTTATTTGTTACTTTGGTAATAAACTACAATTTTACGCTTATAACTAACTGAGTACGCAAATACTTTATTGGTTAAATGCTCTGGCGCAAGACTGGTAGGTTCTGGGTTCGAATCTCGCGAGTGCGGGATCGTGGATGCGCAGTGTCACTGAGATGTCCCATAATAGGACGAAAAGTCCATCCAGTGCTTCTAGGTTTTTCATAGTGGTCTAGCTTCAATTGACTCATGATTTCAACTATGAAAATAATTTATTGCTTAACAATGATGTAGCTACTGGGCGTTATTGAAAAATTAGCTGTTTGGATATTTACAATAAATGATGTCTGTTAAGTTATGAATTTTTCATTTTGAATTCATCAACACACTCATTTGATCAGTATTACAAGCCTCATTGTAGGAGATCTGTCTTTATCTCATCACTTGTGTATTTTTATAGCAATATATCAGATAAAGAGGGAGGCGTATAAACCGACTCACTCTTCATCGTCTTGTCTCCAGGATCATTGGACTGTTTCCATGTACTAACATGAGCGGTAACATGGGTGGTGGTGATCGGCCTAATCAATCACTCTACCTATACCTACTAATGATTACGATTACTATCAAGAATCAGATAAAGATATTACTGAATAATCATTGACCTAATGACTGCATCGATCATTACTTACTTACTTACTTACTTACTTATGCCTATTACTCCCAATGGAACATAGGTCGCCAACCAGCATTCTCCAATCCACTCTGTCCCGGGGCATCGATCATTACCACCACCACCCAGATAATCTTATGTAAGATCAGTTACAACAATGTAAAAAAAAACTTGTAATCCTTACTTACTTACCCTGTGGAAATATTGTAACCAAATGATAACGATTACCAAAATATAGTAATGGGAATAAAGTTTTAAATGTCTATCAAATTGATTAGATTAATTTACATTTATACATTGATTTACCCATGGTTTAGATAGATGATTAGGTTTTATTATATCATCAAATATAATTGGAATAGATTGATTGAATTGTACAAATTCACTGTAATAATAATGATCTATCTAATGACATAGATGATTGATTCACAAAAACAGAAATGTTCTATTACTTGTGAAAAGGTTTCATTAATATCAGTATTGAAGATCTTGATTGTTGAATGATTAAAGTATAGAAGGTTCATTAAATAGAACCATATCATCAATATATTAAAATGAAGAGTATTCAACATGTATCAGTAATCTTAATAAGTAGTATCAATTATATGAAACTAGATCTATATTCTTTATATAATGATCATATTATATGGATTATCTGATTGTCTAGTTCACTTATATATGCTTATATATGAAATAAGAATTGGAATGTCTTCATTTCTATGATGAATATTAGTGATTATATTGAAATGATTGATGTCTGGTAATGAAACTATTTTGGAGGTCATTGAATGTTCTATCCTTTTTCTATAATTTCGTTAAAATATTCTTTTGAATATGAATAAACAAATTTGATAAGTTATGATACTCATTAAATATATATGGAATACATTCACGTTGAGATAAGATGATGATGATGATGTCGAGCAGTGTTGAGCCACTAAGAATAGTGATCATAATGCAATTTGATTGATAGCATTCGATCAGCACTAAGAAGGACTTGACACGTATGACATAGATCACCACCCAGTGATCAATCAATTGGTGTACCTCTTTAAACTCAATCAATATCTATTCACTCATTTCCGTCCATCGTGAAGTAGCATTGATCTCCCATTAGCATTCTCTATCGATCTCTGTCCTGGGTAATACTTTCCATTTTGTTTCCAGATGTTATTCATTCGCTTCATGTCTGTTACACGTTTCATATGTAGTTTATTCTTTGGTTTTCCTCTCTTACACTTCTATTCAGGATTCTAAGTTAGCAATTATCTCGTGATGCACTTTTATGATTTTCGTAAAGTATGTTTTATCCATTTCCATCATCTTTTCTTAATTTCCTGTTCAACTGGGATCTGATATATTCACTCCCATAATGGATTGTTGCTGATGGTATCCAGTCAACAAAGGAAGTTGATTATTTTGAGTAGACAATTATTTATAAATACCAATATCTCTTTGATGGTGATTGTAGTAGTTGTGGTAGTAATGATTGATTGTTTGTTTAATCAGATCAGTAGAGATAGTCTGACAAGTATTAGATGACTGATATATTCTCTTATCCCTGTTATTATTGTGATTGTTGACGGTTTTTGGTGTGGAAGTACTAGATGACCTTTTCCTCCTAGTATGGAATTATAATGACATAGTTATTGAAATGTTGATATCTTTTCCTTGATGAATGCTTCGACTTTTCACGAGTAATTTACCATTATATTCTATAGCAGTTTGACCATTTAAAAGACTTGTATGATCACAACTGAGCAACGTGAACTTTCATGAACTTACTTACTTATGCCTGTTACTCCCCATAGAACATAGGCCGTCCACTAGCTTTCTCCAACCCACTCTGTCCTGAGCCTTCTTTTCTGATTCTATCCAATTTTTGTTCAGTCTTCTCATGTCTGTCTCCATTTCTCAGAGTAATGTGTTCTTCGGTGTTCCTTTTCTTCTTTGACCTACAGGATCCCATGTGAGGGCTTGTCTTGTTATGCAGTAAGGTGATTTCTTCAATGTGTGTCCTATCCACTTCCAGCACTTCTTCCTGATTGCTTTCTCCACTGGAATCTGGTTTGTTCTCTGCCATAGTACGATATTGCTGATAGCAAGTTTTATGAAGTCGTATATTAATTTAAATTTTTAGATATCGAACCTGATGTAATCAGTGGTAATTTGATAATCTCCATAGACTATCCATGGTAATAATGAAGAAACAATGAAGTGTTCATATACATTAAACATCTTCATAAATTAGTTTCTGACTTGAAGACATTTCTGTTCACAAATTTGACCGTTCATTGTTTATTACAAGACGTTTTTTATGACGTTAAAATTAAAAGTTGTTTTTTCTTAGTTGAAAGAGTGAGTCAATTGAAGCTAGAACATTAAGGTAAACCTGGAAGCACTGGATGGCCGTTTCATTCTATTGTGGGACTGCTCAGTGACAGTGCTCATTCACGACCTCGCCTCGTGAGTTTCGAACCTAGGATCTATTGAAATTCTGTTGAAATTACAATTCTATTTCTTCTTCTTCTTCATTAGAACTTCTCAACTGCATTTTTCAATTTATAATTCATTTTTTGTAAAAGAAACATGTTTGATAATGTACACACACTGAACATTGAAAAGTCGATCAGTGAGCGATTCATTGACACCTATCTTATCTCAATAAATTAAAGTCTTCTTATTGAATTTACTCAAAATATGTTGTTTTACTGTAGTTTAGTGATGTTAGTGTATTTTAGTGGGGTAATTGTATGGTTTTCAAATGCGGCTCATTATTTTTGTAGGGGCTAAGATCCTACTTCAATTGAGATCGTATGAATGATTGTTGTCAAAATATACATCCTGGTTATCATTGTATGTAATAAATGACTTAATCCGAGTTCATGAATAACGGAGTTAAATAAGTCAAATACGAGAATGAATTTGGGATACATATATTTTGAACACTCATTAATATGAACAGGAAATCAGAGGATTGAAGTGAATAAGGAAAGAGAGAAACAGAAATGATACGCGTTGAAGACGGCGAGTAAGCCAATTCAAGAGAGAGAAGCACAAATGATGCACATTGGAGATGCTGGGTGAGCCAACTCGCTTGATTCAAGCGCCAATCAATATTTAGAGTGAGATAGGAATTCACGGAGACAATTGGTGAACGGTTGCTCAACTTTATGGATTGGTTAGTGTTAGACATAAGCACCATCGGATGCCGGCTCAGTATTCTTTCGGTTAAGTGCTCTAGCGCTAGAGTAGTAGTTCCTGGGTTCAAATCTCGTGAAGCGTGATAGTAGATGCCCACGGCTGAGGAGTCTCAAAATAGGACGAAACAGCCGTCTAGTGTTTCCAGGTTTTCCTTGGTGATCTAGCTTCAATTGACTCACGCTTGCAGCTTTGAAGATAAAAATAAGTTACAGACATGTGAAGAATAAGATAAGAATTGTACACATGAATACGCTCATATAGAAAGTAGTCAAGTTTACTAAGTGCATAATAAAGAAGTTCAAAATGTGGCTCATGATGAATAGTAAATTGGCTTGTTCTAAAGCTAGAATAAGGTATATGGACTTAACATAACAACCGACACTACAGTATGATGTCTAACAGAAAGAATTCCATAGTGACATCACCGTATTATCTGTTCTGATATTCCGCTTCATTTCATTTGATTCCATAAAGAACTAAGAACTGAGAGTAGACAACAAAGTAAACACACTGATCACATTATCATCACTGAATTATTACGTGATCATAATTCTTAAAATTATTTTAAACAAAGTAAATGTCAACAACAATTACAGGAAAAAGAAAGATGAACACACACAAATACAATGATAGACACTTCAGTAATAAGTTAATAAGTAGTAACATATGACTATGTAAATAAAGATAATAAAGGCGGGGGGGACATGAGAGATAATCACACTTAAATGGATACTAACTTATTCAATTCGGAAGTCTTAGAAACTAAACTTGAGCAGTGATTAAATGTTCAAGGAGTACAACCTTCAATCAATAGATCACATGTTCAGATCCCGTTTCACTTACTTCGATTTAGATAAATGGATAGTGTGATTAGTTATCAGACTTAGAATTTGGTTCATAGCTTAGTCAAACTAAGATAATGGAGAATATTTGCTTGACAAGCTGATGATTTTAAAGGTTTCTTGTGTTGTGTTGAAACTTCTTCTTCACCAATAAGTAGTTTACTTTGTTAACCCGAGATTTATCTAATGATTAATGATGATTATGTGGCTGTTGTTTGGATATTTCCTTTGATTACTTTCTTCAATGATTTGATCTCTAACTCTGGGCGGATTGCCTCTATATGGCCTTAAGTCGCAAGCATGATGTTCGGAAATGATTGCGGCTAGCAGTAGGATTCGTTAGCTGGATATACTTGAATCGCAGAGTTAATGTTCACTTGAAGCAATCCGCATAGGATGCACACATGATTAACTGGCCTCATTAGATACGTAGATAACATGATACCATTTGATGTGAACGGTACTTGGTTCGAGTCCCGGAGCGAACCTCAACTCTGTGATACAGGTTCATCCAGCTGACGAGTCCAAAATACGATGTTGAATTCAACTGCTTGTCACCATTTATTCTTACATGAGACTTTTCAGCAATATGAAACAGCTATTCAATATCTACCGGTGTTTTCAATGATTGTCTAACTAATATCAGCACTATGGTTACGAAAAACAGACATTTCTACTATTAATAGCGATTGCATGCTCAATAGTAACTAATTTGGACAGACAATTCCGGAGCTACAATCATAAGTATCGACCAATGGAATGTTACTAAATCGAGTGTACGTTAATCAAATATATATAGCATTGGAACATAGTTTCACAATATCGTGAATTGATTGAGTTTAGATATGTACACTATTAGATACCGATTCAGTAATCTAATGTTATACCATTTCGTAGTGAAATCTTAATGTCCTAAGTCTGACTCCCAGTCGGATATTCATTTCCGAAAAGTTCTATATCAGGATAAAATAACGGTTGAATGATTCCTAGTTTATCTACAGTTAAATAACTAGGTACATTATATATGCTTTAGTGTCAACTTGTGTTGTGTGTGTCTCTAATGCTAAAAACAACCATCCAAGTCACATTAATATACATATACTTGTTTATATAATTCTTAAATAAATACCTAAATCTGCCTGTAGCTCTTCTAGGGCTGCTGCCGGTTTCGAGCCCAGGTAAAGGAGGAGGGTTAAGCATGGGATCGGCAGTCCCATCCCGTAATCAGCAACCTTTCTAAAAAAAGACGTTAATTAGAATACGTAATGTTAGTACATAAGTGCGTATGCATTTTTATTCATAATAGGAGGCGAAATCCGACTCACACATCCTCGTCGTGCCTTCTTAATCATGGAAACCATCCCATGTAGTAACATGAGCGGTGTTTAGGGTGGTGGAAATCGGTCTAATCATCTATTCTACCAATACTCAAAAACGATTACGATTGCTACTAAGAGTCATTGCATAACTATTAAGGGTTCAAACGAGTGTTAAAAAATATTAGTCTGCCCAAATAAAAACAAAAA